ATAAATAAAGATATTGTCATTTAAAATTGAAATTTTTTTTTCTTTATTTTTTCAACTTTTTTTTCATTTTCAGCAACTTTTTGTTTCAGGTTTTTTATGACTTATTTTAAAGATATTTTGAATCTGTAAAAAGCAAATATGCACTATAACTCATCTAGATTAATTCTGTTGTAACAGTTTTTCGATTATTAATCTGGAAAAGTGTTTTATTTTGAATTGCTTTTTTCAATTTTTGTCACGCTGTCCAGCTAAGCAATGAAACGGCATTAGACATGAAAATTTTTTTGTATGAGCAATTTTTATGTCAGCATGCATTGATAAAAATAATTTTCATCCGTGAAATTGAATCTAATGAGTTTTGTTAAAAATTATAAAACTTTGCTTTAAATCACACCTGTTTCTTATTTTTATTATTTATTTAAATATCTTATCATAAAATCATAAATAAAACATTAAAACATCATGAAAATTTCTTTAAGTTGCTCAATTTGATGGTGAAAATCATCTCAGTAGCTTTTTTCGCTTGTCTAAACTGAAACGTCTTAGGCGTGACAAATAAGTCTTAACCGTTACATCTCATTTTGCTAATTATGAGCGCACTGTTGACGATAGAATTTTCGTAATGCGTGATTATTGTTAGTTATTTGTCTGGGAAACTTGATGACAAACTCATTTTTATTTGTGAAAGGAATAGAAAGTTATTAAGTGTCAAAGTCAAAAAATGTAATTCTTCAGTCTTAACTGTCTTAAAAATGGCAAATTATTGAAATATGAGTTTAATGTGATTTGATCATAGTAATCTATGAAGTTAAGTTATAACGTTAAATACTTCAGTCAATAAATTAACTTCGTAGAGACTAGTCGAGTCTTTTACTTCTCTCCCAAGAATTACCATTCCCAACAAAAACTTAAATTAAAAGGATACTTATAAATTCACAACAGGTTATGGGCCTGTATTAAAAGAATTAGGTACAAGAAATATTAAGTAATTATTACATACATACATCGATCAATCACGAAAAAAGAAAACCTATCAAAATTTATTGAATTGAATCTAGACAAAATAAGCTTTGATAAGAATTAATTTTCTCAAAGAACTTTGAGCCTTTGCAAATCTGATACGAATTTACTTTCTCAGATTTCAACAAATTTAATTCAAAAGAAATTCTGGAAATCTAAAGATGACTTTGACTAGAAGTAACCAAAATTCTGAACAAGATGATGATCAGTCCACTCAAACTAATCCAACACCAACAATACTTACAACGTCTAAAGGCAGCAACATTGCAAAATTAACCGGGGAAAAAAACTATTATTCCTGGTCAATTCAAATCGAAGCTTGGCTGATGGATTTAGGTTTATGGGTTTACATAAATAAAACTAATCTTACAATAACAGAATCAGAATTATCTAAGAAGTCATAAAGAAGAGTTGTTCGAAAGGATAAGTTAATAGAACTTTATTATCATGACAATCAAAATTGACATGAAATTTTTAAGGTTATTTAATCGCCGGAATATTGAAAATTCATTTGGGTTACTTTTAAAAGCTTACTTTTCCTATTAAATTATTTTAATTTTTCAATTAAGCATATAAATAAAAAATGGTGGAAAGTAAATTTCTCATAACCCAATAAATAAAACTATTTGTTTGAGTGTTGTAAAATTCGCTTTCCACCAATGAAATTTAGGTCATTTCCGTTTTCCTTACCTTTACTGTCTTTCAATCAGTTCAGTCAAATCAAGCACTTTCATAGATGGATAAGTTAATCTCTGTAAAAAATATTACAAATCTAATTATTTTAAATTCTTGCAAGCGTTCTAAATATATAATTTTCAGCTTTATAATTTCAACTCACCTGAACTTAAAAATTAAATTTTTTTTTGGATGTTCACGATTTTTAAATAAGTTCTTCATTGTTACATCTTCACGTCTTCACACATTGAGTTTAAGAGAAGGACTGAACAATTTCTCCACTTACTTTCCGGCCCAATCCTCGCGGGGTACTTAAATCTCCTTCAACAATGTAGCGAACTGGAGAAGAAACCATTGGAAAAAAGAAGCAAACTTTTATCAGTTCGAAATGGCCAAAATTGTTTCTCTTTTTTTCCAGCGCTTGCTTCTGCATTCGTTACGCAATGGACATATATTTAGGTATTAAAAATCAAGATCAATATTTAAATTTAAAGAAATTTACTGATCATAAAAAAATATTTCTAAATGATTATTGAACATAATTTTAACCGTTGCGAAATGTTTTCAATTCTTTATCTAAGTACAAGATATGAAGAAAATAAACAATCAATCTCACAACAACTTCCGATAATATCAAATAAATGACCTTAAAATCCCAGAAAGAATGATTGATAAAGGTATTAACAAGCCATTAGTAAGGAAATGTATGCTGAAGCCATAAAAAGCGATAAGATGTTTGATAAAATAATCGTTTATTCGAGACATGTTAATTGTTAATTTTTTTATTTCATTCAATATTTTTCGTGAGAGACACTCAGTTTTTAATTATAGATACTCTAGAAAAAGAATATAAAAATATTTCTAACTGCGTTCGAACAGGTGTGATTGATATGGCGGCAACTTTATTTAGGGAAATGTGTCTATGCACTCACGCAGCACATCATTAAAATAGCCAACAACATTTCGCCGTGAGCGCTTTCAGTGAAAATTTGTTTTCCTTTCTCTGGGATCAACATGTTTGAAATTGAGTAACCTGCTTTATATATGTTGTGCATGAACCCGAGAGAATAAATCCGAAGTTACGAAAAAAACCCCGAATTGTGTCGAAACAAATTCTTTAGTCTCAGTTCAGATTTTCGTTAAAGAAGAAAAAAAAATATTTTTCTCAGTTTTCCTTCAGAAGTCGTTAACATCATTTCACTGAGACGTGTTTGAATATTTTTTGCTGTCCAATTTGGATTTTCATTTACCTCTGTGAGTCATTTTTGGCATATAATTTCAGTAGCTAAGTATAAAAGTGATTTAATGAACATGTTTGTGGAAATTTAACAAAGATTTTCAAGCGGAAAATTTTATTATTGGAAAATGAATGAAAACAGAAGAAAAACAACTTGAAAAGAAAAAAATATTAAGTAGGTCAAGACGAAATGTGCAAAATACATTCGATTGATTGAATAGTTTCATCCAAATAAAAGTTAATCATTAATTAAAGTTTCTCGAGTCATTCTCCATTTAATAATAAATTACTAATCAAGAAAAAATAACATCGTATTAATAATAATAAATTGATTTTCATCCTTAATGGAAAACTTTTCCTTCATTATTTTGTTTTTCCTTTTTCATTCTCCTTTCTCTCACACTTGTCGCTTCTGCATCTGCGTAGTAATAATCATGTGAAAAGAAAAAGCGAGAGAGATAGAAAGAGAAGTTTCAAAACGTGAAAGATAACAATAAAAATGAATAAACAGGAATGATTAAGCTTTATGCAACCACAAATGTGTTTGGTCTCTTTAAAAGCAATCTAATGATTTTGTTTAGTTTGTTTGGTTTTGGTGTTATCGAAAAGGGCAAAGTAAGTTTATGTTTGCACTTTTCTCTTCATTTGTTGTAAAAGATAAGGAATTTTAATTAAAATTTGTTTGTGAAATAACAAGAGATAGTTTTTTATTGAATTTTCTTTTATTTGGCTTCTAGATTGCTTCCAATATCACACTTACTCATACACACACAAACTTGAGTCATGGGAAAACCTTTTAACGATCCGGAAAATCCCGATAGTCAGAAGCAAACGCCTTCAGCTCCACCGCTCACTGATCTTGTCAATGATACATCATATATCGATTTTATTATCTTGGGAAATAAGGAGAATTACAGTGTTCGGGCTGATAGACTATCAATCCTCAATTCTAACACAGAATTATCACGACTTGTCAAAGCTGAGAAGTTTACAATCAATCAGAGCAACGTAAATGTTAGCAACTTTGAAGCGCTAATTCGTTTCATCGAAACAAAATTCATTCGCTTTAATGATGACATCAAGAACACTTTGAACATTTTGGAGCTCGCATCGACATTTCAATGTCACGATTTGGAAATTGCCTGTGTGAAAGAATTAGACATGAAACTGTCTGTCGAAAATGTTATTGATATTTTCAAAGTTTTAAGATATTACAACACGAAAACAGTACTAACGATTAGAACAGCGCCAAAACCGTCAGGAGCTGAAGAATATTTGAATGCGATGTTTTACAACACTCTTCAGTTCATCGATCAAAATGCTGTTGATGTTCTGTCACAAACTGAAATGTTAACTTTACGATTCGAGGAATTTGAAATAATCATAAAAAGAGACGCGCTACAGATACCTTCAGAAACAATTATTTTTAATCTTCTTGCTGATTGGAGTAGCAAGGAATGTGAAAGAAAAATAATTGAACCGTCAGAAGAGAATCGAAGACGAGTTTTGGGTGGGTTGATTTACTCTCCGCGATTCTTACTTCTGTCTTATGAAGACTTTCAAAAGTGTCGTGATCGAGTAAGTCTACTTGATCCCGTTGAAATCCAGTTGATTGAAGATTTCTTCAACAAGAAGAAAGCTTCAAATCTCACCGAGGAACAAATTGTGATGTTGCAAAATTTTAAGAAGTCACGACCGAGTTTTCCCGGAATGCCGATTCATCTTTCCAATAGAAGTAATCCTAAGAATTATCCGAAGAAAATGAGAAAACATGCACAAAAGCTTGCAGAGGAAGGTATGGAAAGAAGTCGATGTGATTCTTGTCTTGTCACGTGCGCATCAATTTTTGCATGCATTTTTGAATGAATTAAACGATTAAGAATGACCAATATGTCTACCTGTTCCGGATAAATTAAGCTAAGCTTCAAACTGTTAAACTATTTAATTGTGTTGAATATACGACGAAAATCTATTTATTTTCTATCCCACTCATGCCATGTGAATGAAGAAATTATTGAAACGAAATGAAATGCGAAAGAAATGAAAATTTTATTTATTTCCATATTTAAATGAATGTTAGAGAAAAGTTTCTTAAAGAAATATTTTAAATTTGTTGTTTACTGAAATTATTAGTCCAATACATAAATATATTTATGAGAATCATTCTGATAAAGAGTCTTAAAAGTTTATCATCGATCAGATATTTATTTTTCCTGATATCTAATCTAATGTTCACTGTTTTATGTTAATCTAATAATAATAAATTTATATTTATTTGAAGTATAGTTTAAAACTAATTGATAATTACTAAATTATAAATGTTTATGAAAAGGTGATTGATTGTTGTTGGTAAGGCCATTAAAATCAACCATCAAAGGTTACAGAAAGTCTAGTTAAAGATAGAAAGTTTTATGTGCTGAAATGAATTTAGATTGCATTTATTACTAGCATTAATAATGAAATTATGATTTGTAGCATAAACATTTTTAAATAAAGCAAATTTTATATCATGAAGCTGTCAAGAAACTGCTGCAAAAACACAAGAAGGAATTCTTTTCTTAATTGATTGTTTTATTTCAGATTTTATAATTCTCTTTTATTAATTAAAATCAATACATAAATAGAAATAAATTCCATGTAACAACTATCAGAATTAAATTTCTAAACCAATTTTTGGAAGACGAAAAACTTCTAGAAATATGTAAGAAATTCTCTAGTTAAAACTTAAATTCTTTTTTAAAAGTTTTAAACGGAAAGCTTTGCAAAGTTTGATGTGACTTTGTGAAAGTTTTATGTGAAAACTTTTGAGTATTGGCTTTGGAATGTTGTGTGTTAGTAGAAAATGTTTCAAAGAATGCTTGTGATGTATTATTCTTTGAGAATTTGTCAATTAAAGATGACAGATTTCTTTCCAAGGTTTCCTTTTATTTTGTAGCCTTTCAAAATGTCTAAAGATGAGATACAATGGAATGAGTGTGACAACATACGGTTCCCTTAATAAACTTTTGTATTCAACATGACGCTTTTCGCTTAAAACTCTACATAATTTATATTTTCCCAAATTTCTAAAGTATATTAATGTCATCTTTCTTATTTGCTTACTTACACTACGCAAAAAATTTTCATGTTTCCTGCCTAGGGCTTTGAATTTTTCTTTTTTGTTCTCTTCCGCTTTTCTCATTTCAACAAACAAAGTTTTACATTTCATGTACAACAGCTGATAAACTTTCTTAAGATTTCTCTGAAATAAGTATTCTTTGAGATTCTATTTTGTTATAAATACAAACTTTCTTCATTATTAAATCTTTGAGCTACTTTACTAATTAATGTCTACTTATAATATGAAAACATGCATTAAATATCTCAGTTTTTTAATAACTTTTTTGGTATCATTTTCATTTGATTTTAAAGGTGAGATTTATAACTATTTTCGACTAAATTGTTGCCACTTTTAAACTTTTTTTTTCATTCATTTATCGATAAATATTCCAACGGTGTGTCGTCACTTAACAAAGCTTGTGAAAGTTTATTTTGTTGTACAATCTTTTTCCTGTTTCACAATCTTTATAAGTTATAACTTAAAAACTTATGAAAACGTGTTGTGTGATCATTTTCTTTTACCTTTTTCCTTTATTATAGTGTTGAAAACATTACCGAAAGTTCAGGAAAGTTACTTAAGCTCATTTAAAATGAAAAACAAATCTTTTTCAGTATTTCAAAGCTATTTAAGTTGATAAATATTTTCTTTTCTAGTCTCATCTACATTTTAGATCTTTTCTCATTTTCTTTTGATTATAATCATTTAGAAGAAGTTTGGAAAAGGGTTTAAATATTTTTTCGTGATGTAATGTTGGAAAACTTTTTTTCTTTAAATTTCTTTAAAAAATGGGAAAGGTTTGAGAACCGCTGGTAGAGTAATTTTCTTTTTACGATTTAGAAAAAAGATTAGAAAATAATACTCGTTTGTCTAATTTAACATCTAAATTCAATTCTTGACAGGTGCACAGTTCTGCGCTGAAGCTCAATTCATAGAATTTACGGTTTCAACGTCCTTTTTTTTCGTACAATTATCATTTTCCTTTTGCATTACATTTTCCTTACATTTCTCTTGAAACATTAAGAGCGATCTTTACGATCTCCGAAATCCAACAATTTTGAATATTTTAACTATTTTTAACTTCATTTTTAAAAGTCTCTATAAGTTTATGTAAGTAATGAGTTATTCTTGTAATAAAAATTTCTGAATAGAAAAAAAATGTTTCACGAAGGTATAAAAGAAAGAAAGACTCTCAAACGTTTCTAAATATATTTTAAACGAATTTTTGCTTTTCATTTGGTCAATTTATGTAAGCATGTGTTCTTTTAACGAAGTGCTTTAATTAAGTCGCTAATTAAAGGCGCAACTAGCGCATAGCCTACTTTTCAAAATATCATAAATCAAAAATGTTGAGAATCATCAAAATTCTAAGTTATAAGAATATCAAAAAATTTAGATTAGCGTGGGTGTATGTTCCTTTAGAAATTGTTTTTAATTGATTTTACAAGTCCAACTTCTGTGCGATATGCTAAATATCCAATTATTTTTGGCATTTTTAGACCGTCGTGACCCGATCAATTTCCACGTATCGCACAGAATCGTTTTGTCAGCTAATGAAATCTTTTTCGTCAAAAACTGCAGTGTCGGTGTTCGTGTTAACAGAACTCATCGATTTTAATCGTGTTTGAAGCACTGAACTACGTTGCCAGTGATGTTTTATTTTTCTGAAAGTGTAACATATTGCAAAATTAATTGTGTTATATCATACACTTAGTCGCTTTCATAAATACCAACCTGCGAATGTAAAATGAACCTGCACAGCAAGCGATAATTAGTAACACGCAGAGTACGGCGAGTACTTCTGCTGGCAGTCGAAGAATTGTTGAACAGTGAATAAATGATTCATCATAACCCGAAGGACAATGGACTTTTCCATCACACCAGATTGATCCGTTCACACATGCATGCAATTCTGGACACGAATATTGACAATCTTCTGTAAATATCAACAAAGAAAGAAAGAATGAAAGAATGGACGAAAATTGAAAGAGAAAAAAAAATATTGAAATATAAGATGCAAGAATGTTTATTTACCAAGTCCTTCGGCAACTTGTGGATGTCTTGACAATTCCAACCAAGTCAATAAATAATCATTAAAGTCATAGATTTCAGGAATGTATTCAACAGAAAGTGCTGGTGAATATTCATGACGTTGGAAAAACGGTTTATGATGCCAACCAGCGCTGAAAACTTCCACCAAATGACGATTGCTATAATCGTCGGATAATGGACATGCCGTGATTGTTATGCCTGCGGAAAAAATGAGAAATTTAATCATTTAACAATGTCAATTATTTAATAAATAATTCTCACTATCGCCTGTTGTAATAATCACACGAGATTTTGTCGGACAGATTGGCTCATCATATGTGGTAGATTGGTTGATTGGCAGTGGTGTTTGAGGATTATATCGACTTAGATAATAACCTCGAAAGCTTAGGTAAAGATATTTGTTGGTCGATGGCTCAATAAGCCATGGTCGTGATTTGCATTCAAGCTAAGTAAATAATTGGATAAGAATGAATGAATGAAAGAAAGATAAAAATGTCAGAATTGTTCTTACATCGCCATCGTTTAAGGAAATTGTTCCTTCCGAGCCAAGTTTCCGTCTCACATCTTTACAATCGAATGGAATAATCGGCTTAATGAACTCAAAAGTTGCTTGAAAGTTTAATGAGTCTGGATCATCATATCTTGTCATGTTGATAGCAGTAAAATGGACTTCAACTTCATTACTTTTCGAGATGTAAGTAAATGGCAAAACACTCGCCATTGACGAGTTACAAATGCAATCTCGAACGAATAACGCTGAATCGTGCCACGGTCTTTCGAATATTTCAAGCTTCGCTGAATTATTTCCGAAGCAGAAAGACCTTTGAGTATCATTTTCCATTTTCGATTCGCATGTTCGATTACCCGACATCATTCGATAAACGACAATTTTCACACGTTCACCTCGTTGCGCTTCAAAGCGGTAGACACAGCTGGGAATGATAAAATATGAAAAAAGGAAAGGAAAAAATAACCCAAAAAGATATTTTTGAAAAGAGTTTCGCTACAACTCACTTTAAATTTATAGCTCCACTTCTTCCAAAGAAGAAAACATTGCGATTGCTTCTAAACATAATTGGTTCAATTTGAGGCTCAATTACGCTACTAACAAACTTTCTGTTACATCCTTGATCGTTATCAAATGGCATTCCGTCTTGAAACAAGTCAACGAATTCGTAGTTTATTTTGAAGTTAAGTGGCCTAAGTAGCGAAAATAAATTGTTTTTTAATGAATACAATGAGTCAGTTGTGGTTGATGTGGGTGGATAAATTACCTTAAAGCAGTTGACTCAGTCACTTTCAATTCTAATGTCGCGTAGTCGCTTGTTGAGAGAAAACTTTCTTGCATTGAACACGGCCGACTGAAGGTTGAATTGAGAACAACATGATCGCAACTTCGTGGTATTGAACCACGACAATATCTTGCAATGACATTCGTGTGATTATGTCCAAGTCTCATTAATCTTTGAGGCATTTCTCTTTCATTTACATAGCAATCAAGGTCCTTACACACGGGAGGTTCGCGAAGTTGTCCATCGAAGATTCTCAACATTCCTGAGCAATCTTCTTTAAGCGGTTGAAGCAGCATGTTCTCATCAGTTGACTCAAATATTGGCGCGTAATCAAATTTAAGCACCGACAACCAAATTTTAAACCTCGAATTTGTTGGTGAAATTCCACCAGCACGTCTTAATGACACTTGCAATTGATCCATTGAACGTGATGGTAATTCGGTTCCTTGGAAATGATACAAACATGTTGTGTTGGGTGCAATTGAATGTTTAGGATTTTCAAGCACACCGTGCCCTGTTCCGCGCACCCAAAACTCGCACGACCTTTTACTTTTCGCATATGTAGGACTTTGAATGTCGACAAAGGTCACTTCAACTTCCAGTTGAAAGCCGTTGAAAGCTTGCAGAATGGTATCTTGTTGAAGGTTGTTAAACGTGCCATATGGGGATGTTGTAAATTCAACCAATAGCTCAGGGCCGCTTGAAGTTGCTTGCGGTATCGATTGACCACCCCCACAGAATTTCAATACGACTGGATCTCGTGTTGTGTATCCATCGTAAATCGTTACAAAGTCCTATTAAATGAGTTTTCATCATCGCTTTTCATTTGAGAAATGGAAGAAATTCTTTTTTTTTATCCTTACCTGAACGTTATCACACTCAGCCCACGTCTGAAGTTTTGGTTTGAGTTTCTCTTTTTCATTTTTCGTCTGTTGTGCTTGATTTCCAGCTATTATCCATACAAGGTTGCCTTTTGGTTGCTTAACTGTAATAAGTGCATGCTTTCCTTGTGGGACATCGTGCTATGTTGATATTTCAAGAGATAATGATAAATTTTGGAAGAGAAATGTGTAAGTCGCATAATTAATGGTTTGGGTTCGAACATACAAAAGGCTGTGAGAGGAAAACTTTTCTTTCCTTCTTTCTTTCGTGACACCAAATGGCAATGGAAATGGTTGATAAATGATGTCACAGGAGACAATGTCTGAGCTGAAGTAATCGAATTCTTAAGTGTTTATCCTTCGAGATTCAACCTCATAAATCGTTTAAAATGAATCAAATAAATAAAACTTTTTTTTTTCACTCCCAAAAGTCTCCTGTGACGTTATTCATCGAAATGGTTATCTATTAACCCAGGAATACTCACTTGACGAACAGCATAATAACAAGTGAGATTTCTTGGATAAGTTCCAGGAAAGTTTGGCGATTGTAAACGACACAACTTTTTATCGCAATTGCTATAGATCCGCGAGCAGTATGTGCCTGGTATGAGGTCACCTAAATAATATTTTGCATCAATTGTTGAGTTCTTTGTCGCCTTTGACTTCGACTTTCGTTGACTTTTTCCCGTAGCTGACACTCCAATAGATGATGTCGTCAAATTGAGTGTATGCTCATACCAGTTCTTCGATCTTATTTCAAACTCTTCTTGGTAGCTGTCGAAAGTTTTGGATTTCTTTGGTGAAGCAAATTTATTGTCATAATTATTAGACGAATGATGTGTATCTCTAGTCAAATTCTCATAAATGTCAGACTTTATTCCCCCGTAGCGCACCACGGACTCTTCTTTCGACAAAAACTTATATTCTATCCGAAAGTCGAAGTTATATCCGTTCTGTTCCCTTAAGAGTTTGAAAAGTTTCACTGTAAGTATGAGTGAATGTGTTTCACTATAAAATACGGAAGGGCCCCAAGATTGTCCACAGAACATTCCACCGACGGGCATACGTGATGCCTCTGAGAATTCCAGAAAGGCATCCTGGCAGCCGTTCTGTGTAAAGGAAACGAATTTTCCAAGGGTGAATCCGTTCAATATAGTGATCTAGATAAGACACATAGAATTAATGTTATTAGGTGTTGAAACTTTCCTTTTCCAACCTTTTTTTTCAAATTCATTCTCTACCATTGCAACATCCCAAAGAACATCACTCACTCCAACACTTGAACTTTTATTTATTATAAAAACACAACATGAATACCTGAACGATGTCACCATGCATGCCACCAGCTGCAGTGAATGTTAGTTGACAAACATACGGAGTCTTCTCTTCCTTTGGACGATGTAATTCCATGTGATAAGTCATGCCAAGATTACCATGATAGGTTCGATTGCACTCTGAAGTAATATAAACATGCCAAAAATTAATTTCATAAATTTTATGATTGGAAATTTATTTCATTTCTCGGTTTGATTACGAAAACTTTGACAAGGAAGGAATGAATTGAAGCAATTAATTTCGAAACTGCTTCTGTTTAAACAATGCTGGAAGCGATTGAAAAGCTTTATAGCAATTTGTAGAAATAGTTTTCTTATATTTTCAAGTATAGGGAATTGTAATTACAGTTCCATCGAGTAAAATCACTGAACATAAAAAGTGTTCGGAATTGACAATTTCAAAATTGTTTGGTTGAGTTTTTCTAGGATTGTTTTGATCAAGAAATTTAAAAGAAATGTTATGAAGCTTGACATTTATTGTCAAACATGACAATTTAGGAAAAAGAAGTCCATTCATTCCCATCACTAACTACAAGCAGCTTACAATTCTTCCCCTAAGCTTACGAAAAATCAACAACAAGCGAAACGAAAAAGAATTGAAATTATTGATTTCTCTTATCAAGATGTCGGGTGGAATGAAATAAGAGAAAGAAGGATTGAAATGAAAGCTTTTACGCAATTTAAATTTTCATTTATGTATTCAATCAAATTTTAAATCGAGAAAGAAATGTTCGCTTCAGCTTGTTCGTTTGCATGTTTGCTTGTAATCATTAAATCCACATTTTTCCTTCTTATTTTATGTAACTTAATCACCTAATAAGGCATTCAAATTATCCTTAAATCTCAGGCTCATGAACTGTGTACAATGAGTTCATCTCAACCATAACATAATAAGACATTCTTCGTTCGTTCATTCACTCACTCGCTGCTCTACCACCTGCTTCAGCTCTCATTTAAATGTCATGACGAAGGAAATAATGTCATTAAATGAGAAATTCTTACAGGAACTGTTTGTGATTCATGTCAAAAAGAAATTGTTGGCATAAGAAATGTCCTCGAGCAACAGATGAATTATGGTGGACTTTAAATTCGCTAAGAAAATTTTTGAATATCTGAAGGCACTTTTTCCAAAGACATTCAAAATTCTTCTTTATCATCATCGTCTGTAAGGTTTTTTATCTTATAGAGTCATAAAAAGCCATTTATTAAATGAAAATGCATTAAATTAATGACTTGCTACATAATTGCCGTACAAGCCCCGAATGTAATTGAATAAATATTTTTTCAACGCAAGTCAAGATGGTTAGAACTCGAGTAATGCCAACAAATAAGAGAAAATGCTTCTAACATTCAATTAATTTTTAATTAGGCGTATCTAAAGATAAAAGGAATAATTAATTCATGTGATAAAATAACTCACTCGTGCAGAATCTCGGCTCGTCTGATGCATCACCGCAATTATCGATATTATCACAAAACTGTGATGCTGAAATGCATTTACCATTCAAACATGAAAATTCACTAATTGAACACTTCTGGTAAGCCCCCGACGATGATTTTGTTTGAATCGACTGCTTAATGCTGTGAATTGTTGTCGCAATATAACACAAGTAGAAGATTACTGTATTGATTTGATTTGCATTCATTTTTCTCGCCTTCACTCTCCTATTTGCTTCTTTGGATCGTTTTTATTTCGTTCGTTTTCACGACTCTTGCGTTTTTCTATCTTGTAAGTGTATTGAATGTCCTTAGTAATTAAAATATTGCTTTCTGAACATTATCTTTTACTTTTATCTCGAAATAATTGAATGTTGAATAGATAATTCCCATGGATACGAAATGTTGACTTACGAAAGCATGCAAAGTACTTTCGAAGATTTATCTGCACTTCGCTACTTCATTATCGTTATTCGAATGATTATAATGTTCTTTGTCACCAACCACCGTTTTCTGACGTTTCTTCTTATGCTGTTCTAACTATTTAAGTGTAATCTTTCTCTCTCTCTCTTTCACTTTTCGTCTCTTAAAGCCACGTCTCGAACAGATAAAAATCTATTAAGTATTCAGATGAGGGAAAGAAGGAAAGAAAAAAAGTTTTTATGCTCTTGCATTATGAAAAAGAAAATATATTTGTGCTGTTGTGGTGTTGAGGGAATTGATGGATCCACTCAATTGCCAGTCTCATCATCTTTTGGGACTTTTCCTTTCTTTTCTTTTATTGCTTTTCTCTCGTTTTCCACTTGATTTATGTATGTCAAGAATGTGAAAAGCATTTCAATAATGCGGGAAAAATTGGATATTTAAGTGAGTGAGAGAAATGAAGAAAAGGAAAAGTTTTAATATGATTAAATTTCATAGAAATAGAGGATAATGTAACATTGTAACACGATATCGACAACACATATTTATCGAATTTGTGTTTCACGTTGCTAACATAATAAGCTGTCGCGACAGTTTTCGTTACTTTCCAAATATTTGAGCCATAATTAGTCGTTGTCTGATTTGTGTTGACGAAGGAAAATATCAATGAAAGAATTTAAAACAAATAGTTTGATAGAAGAATGAAAATGAAATCGACTTAAAGTGATTGTTAACTTTTGCCAATGGATTGACTTTTGATTTCAACGTTAAATTCACATGATTAAGCATAAAAGGCCTTCGGAAAACAAACAGAAAATTAAGGAGAGTTTTACAAATGAATAAACACAATCATTGTGATTTTGATCACGTTTACAAAGTGTTATAACGTGTTTTGAGAAGAATAGTGGGAGAAATTTATTCAAACAAAGCTTTAAGGACGGGAACGACTGAAATTTTACTAGCCTATTTTTACTTTACGCCTTTTTCTATCGCTTCTCGCCCGAAACCAATTTAAAACCCAATTTTGCCACTTCGGGTCGTTTCTCAAGTGAGAAGAAGGAAAATTTTATTTCAAGGACGAAAATTTTCACTGAATTTTAATGTTCTATGTCATGCATTGCAATGAACTTCCGTTTTCTCTCCTTCACCAAAAGCACTAAAGGTTTTTTTTATTTTTATGACGAAAAACTTTCACAAGATTTTTAACTATTTTCCCTCTCGTTAAAGTGAAACCCCCAACAGTTTGACTTTAATTGAATTTCATTTAATAACCATTTTCCCTCATGGAAGCCCGCAAATTGATAATCAATGTTTGATAATCTTGTAGGCGAGAGAAAACAATTTTTTCCCTTGTTTTATCATGACAACTTGTAATTTTTTTTTCATCAAACTCCCAATGTTGGGAAACAGAAAGAAGAAAAAATTAACACTCAATGGAGACACCACGAACCTTCGAAAAACAACTTTCACAAAGCACAAACTAAGCACTGATTAATAATTATCAAAAATTTTCCATTTTCCATCCTTCCCGAGCAGCGAAAAATTGAATAATGTGCGAGTAAAAGTTAACCCAACAGCCAAAAAGAGAAAACTGAAATGTTTGAGGGGTGCAGCAGGTAAAGTGACGCAAATGTGTTGGTGGGCGAGATTGCTTCTTCGCCTGTCTCAATGTATGAGCGGCACTTGCGCACTCATCTACATCAAATTTCTGTTTTTGAACGTTGGTTCAGGAGCTTTATCGCTTTTTAAAATGTAAGAAATGTGATTCTCAAATCCCTGCAGCTCAATTTGAGTAAATGATTCAAAGGGTTAATGATCTGATCTTTTGTTGAAGAGGTGCGGGGGGATAAACAATCATTTGTTTCATTTATTTATTTATTTAATAAAAAAAATTCCCCAGGAGTCTCTTTGAAAATTCTTTTCATAACTAAAGACGAAGTGGAATGATTTGAATGTCGGAAAAATACTTTACGAAGTAAAGAAAAATAAAAAAATTCTCTCCCAAAACTGCGGGTGGTTGAACAACAACATTCCTTGTCTTCTTTTTAAATGCAAACAATTTTTTTCCTTTTCATTCTCCCATCACATTTTTTCCCATGTTTAAAGCGCTTTTAATGTTATTGAGTTGTGTGAAAAATTTGCTGAGATTTTTCTGCTCTTTCAGACTTTTTTTTTCTTTTTTTTCTCATTTAAAGTTCAAAAAGCTTGTACTTACTCTCTCAACTCCACTGAGGGTTCGTTGTCGTCGTCGTCGTTGTCCCGTTTCATACTGCAAAGAGAATAAAAAATAAAGTTTAACTGAAACAAGCGCAAAGATTTTATTATAAGCATGAGTTTTCTGAAAGGCGAATCAGTTGCTCGTGAATCTTGTGAGTGTTCAAAGCAATGCAAATCGTTTAAAATTTGGTATTTTTATTTATATTTATGATTCAATGTTTCCATGTTTCTTCATTGTGACCTTCGTGTTGAGTGTTTTTTAATGACAGTTGATTAGTGCACTAGAAAAGTTAACCAAAACCTGAAATAACATTTTTTTGCAATATAAAAACTTTCAAGTGAATTCAACAATTTATTTCATTTCATTTTTGCAACAAAAAGCCTTGTGCCGAGTTTGCGCTTTCAAAAAAAGAAAAAGAAATATTTAGAAACAATTTCTTTGACCACCCCCGCACAGCATCATGAGTAAATTTGACGTTTCTGATTTCGATTCTCATGAGTTGAATGAAGCAATTGATGACACGAATTTTCCCAACTCACGTCACGTATCTGTATCGAATGAGACTATTAATAAAAGTGATAACGACGTACCAAAACGAAACAAATCGTTGCCTGTAGCTGTTAAGCCAAATGGTTTTGCTAAATCATTTGATGATGAAGTTTTCGATGTGCCTGGGACACCGAAAACGCCACGATCTATCCCGACACCAGGTAATTGTGAGTGCAAATCTATTTTTTCTTCTTTTTAAATGGAGATGGAACATCAACACAACACACACACAGCTTATCACATCACTGGACAGAACAGAGAACAACTTTTTATCACGTAGTTATCGAAAAATCGCTAAGAACATTCTTGACCATGACTAACAAACTTATGTTCGTCATCAGAGTGTCGTAAAACTTTCTGTTTCATTAATTTTTCGCTCGCAAAGATCAAAATGTTATCAGTGAAGTTTGTTAAATTAATTTAGCTTTACTCAAAAACAAAGCATTTGATTGACATGAAACAAGGACATAAATAAATTATTTTTATCAAAACATTCCACAAAAGATTGAAAAGCACTGTCACTGAGAGATTAAAAGATAAACAAAAACCGGAATGAGTTAAACGTATAATTAACAATCGTAAATTATTATGAAAGAATTAAAGAAAATAAAACTTGTTGAGTGACTTCTGTGATTATTAAAATGATTCTTGTGAGTCTTATGACAATGTAAAACTTTTAGGCATGAGTTGATTAACTTAAGATTCTGACGAATATTGGAAATTTTATTATGATCAGTAAAAAATATTTATGAGATTCTTCAATATTCCAGTTGTTGCTTCTTTTTCTTCTCACACCTGGTTTTTGGGGATTTTTATGTTCTTAACTTTGAGTCAAACAATTTCAAATGTTAACAATGAATCATTTCTTATTACATTTTAATGAAGGGCATGAAAAGTGCACATTCCACAACGATTTAGAGCTTGATCATCGTCCATCAACACGAGAAGATTTGATATCAGACATGGCCAACTCGTATCGTTTGTTGTTATCGAGTTTGGGAGAAAATCCGAATCGACAGGTGAGACGATTACATTTTAAAACGAAATTAATGTCTGCAAATATAAAACTGTTTATGTTCTGGAATGTCAATTAAGGTTTTAAGCTTAAACTGTTCAGTTAAAGCCGATAAACCTCCTTGACGTTTTTAATGCATGGTCGTAATTGACAAGGGGATTGCAATAAAAATGAATCATTGACTGTGAAATTCATTGGTTTCTTAGGATTTCCATTTTATTAGCATGGAAAATTTATGCATCAAATTAAATTTGTTTATATAAAAATCATTGCAGGGACTTCTCAAGACACCTGAACGTGCTGCTAAAGCGATGTTGTTCTTCACGAAAGGTTACGATCAGAATTTAGAAGACGCTCTTAATGGAGCAATTTTCGACGAGGATCATGATGAAAGTAAGTTTGAATGAAGCTCTAAAAAAACACTCAAAGAGATTTTTAAGACAACAATTTATGTGAAGATTGATTGCTTCATGAGAGTTTTAATTAAATGAAGCACTTCGGTTTCATAAATTGTGAATTGCCATTAATTAAAGCACATTTTAATCTTTTGATGCTTGTTGAAACCGAAACGAGACGAATGAGTTCATAAACTATCTTAAAATATCTCAATAATTGCAATCAATAAATTAAGTATTTGCTTAAACCACAAACAACATGACTCATGATTTATTTCTCTTCTCTTTTTGTTGTTATTTTACGAAATTTTACATTCATGTTGAACATTTGATGACAACAACAATATCAACAGTGGTTGTGGTGAAAGATATTGAAATGTTCAGCATGTGTGAACATCACTTGGTGCCGTTTTACGGTAAAGTCTCGATTGGATATCTGCCATGTAAGAAGATTTTAGGATTGAGTAAATTAGCGAGGTGAGAAATGATACAAGAATTAAAAGAAATATCGAAATGCTCATAAATTATGCAAATTTTATTTTTTTATATTCCTAGAATTGTTGAAATATTTTCTCGTCGTTTACAAGTTCAAGAGCGATTAACGAAGCAGATAGCTGTCGCTGTAACGCAAGCAGTTCAACCATCGGGAGTTGCTGTCATTATTGAAGGTAAAATTCTTTAATCTTTGCTACTGTTTCTGGTTTTCCTTTTAGATTATTTTATTTTATTTTATTTCTTTTGCCTTCTCATTGTTATTCGACTTCATATCAAATGAGAGAAGACGAAAAGCTATAAAAATCATTTCGAATATGTTGAACAACCATTTAGATAAAGAAGCAACACGACTAATAAAGTTTTCGTTTTTATTTCTACTTTTTATCTCATTTTAGGTGTTCATATGGTGAGAGACGATCAGCCAAGATTGAAATTCTTGATTAGAAGTCGCGTTGAAGTTTTCATCTCATTTCATTCAATTGAAGTTTCTTGGACTTCAATTATGTTTTATTGATGGTGGATTGGATAAGATTATAAAATTTTTTCTTTGTCTCTTCCCGAGAATTCTTTAAATCTTTCCATCATCATAATAAAATAAATAATAAAAAGTGAGAAAAAGATTCTTACGATTGATTTGTTTGTTCTTCATTGCAGTGCATGGTGATGCGAGGTGTTCAAAAGGTTCAAAGTAAAACTGTAACTAGCACAATGCTTGGAGTGTTCAGAGAAGATCCACGTACACGAGAAGAGTTCCTCAACCTCGTTCATTCGAAATAAATCTTCAGAGTGACATAAATAAAAACTCACGACATAATGAAGAAGTTAATTGATCTTATCTAAAGAAAACAGATCAAATAATATCTTTAATCTTGTTTTTTATTATTGTTGACACATGTTAAACTAAATGAAATGAATTTATTTAAAAAAAAAGAACAAAATCAGTTCGCGGAACTTTTCAATGACAGAATTTATTGAAAAGTTTCGTCAACTCAATTTTATACAAAACTTCTTAACATCAACATTTATTCTACTATAAGTAAATCAAATTTTATTGACCATGATGCAAAGATCATCGAATTTACAAAGCAAAAACTTTATGATAAATATTTTTGGAAAGCTTTTAAACGTCTAAATAAATATGAAAGAAGAAAAGAACGACGAGTGACTTTGGAAACTCGTTTTGTTGAATTTTTTTTCTTTATCGTTATGTATGACCAATGGACCAATATTCAAATAAAAAGTGTTATTAAAGTCTGACAATAAAGAGTATTTGTCAAGATTAACTTTGTTTTAATTCCATCGCATGCAGAGTGATTTTTTTTCTCTGTTCTCCTCGACAACAAATTAACAAGTTTAAACAAAGTAGTCACGGGCGCGATTTCACTCTTAGAGCATTCCGATGAATTAACTTCACAAACTTTTAATCTGATTTGTTTAATTGACCTTGAAATGACAAGAAATTGTCAGGGTGAGGGATAGACGAAGGAAGATAATTTAACAAATCTTTTAAACTATTCAATTTCAGAATTTTATTTCAATGTCGATTCTCTGCCCTGACATTAACAATTCATGCTGGTGGTGGGTTTATTGAGTGATGGATTTAAAAGATTTTTCTTCGTCTTATTACTTTTCTTCTTTGCGGTACTTGAGGTCTTGTTGTTCATCTTGTTTTTATATAAAAATAAAGAAGAAAGAAAATTGGAAGCATGAAGAATTACATGAGTCATTTAACATCTTGCACTCACTTCATTTTATCAAATCAAACAATAATGAATGTTTAAGAAGTTTGATCATCTTTCAAACATAAAAAAGCCGGACTTATGCTTAGGCAACTTCACACCAGCAAAAGAGAAAACAAAATAAAAATCTTGAAATGAGAGACGACGATAGTGAAAAGAGCAAAATTCAACTTAAGTTTGTTCTTTTATGTACTTCATTCGTGTGTTGATCGTGGATCGTTTCGGTTTCTGTTGAATGTTTGTTCCGTCAATAAAGTTAATAAATTTTTATTCTTCAGCGTCGTCGCGGCATGCAAGCAATAATAGTTCTTCAGACTCAGTTCTTGCGCATGATATATTTTTAAATTATAAACGACATCGACAGTGTCTCATGTTGAAAAGTGTGCTCGACTTAATTTGATAAAAAAGAATCAGAAAAAAAAATATCAAAAAAGAAAAATAAAAGATTGAAAGAATCAAAAATTATGCAAATTCGCTTCGAGCGGTCTGCGCAGGAGAAATCACTACTTTTACAATGGAAGACAAAAAAGTGAATCGAAGAGAAGAATAGATGATCAGTTGTGCTGTTGTTAAGAGAAGGAAAAGCTTCGTTTACGCTTTTCGTTTTCTTTAAAAATATGCTAAAAAGTTTTATGTATATCAAAAACTATAAACGAGTCATAATAATCTTAGCGTTCTTTCTCGTGTACATATCAATGTATTTAATTCACAATGCCTATGGGACTCTATGTGTAATTAAAAGCAACAGTGGAGATAATGGCAGCAGTAATAAAAGAGACATTGAAGCCTCGAAGCTCTTTAAAGGCAACAATTCAAACCTGTTTGTAAGTAATGTGCACAAAATCATTTTTATTTTGCTGTCTCTCGTCTTAATGTTGTTGATCTGCACTGCTGTGACTTTTTAGAAAAAATAAATTAGAAGAAATCATGTTTCAAATCATGACTATTTTGAAATGGTTGAAAACATTTCTTACTTTTATTATTATATGTAGGTATGTAGTTATGTAGTATGTTCATGTGAATTAATCTATGAATTGAAATCAGTTTATAACCGTCTCAAAAGTGAACAAGAGAAATGAAAGAAATATTACACAGCCAATTTCCAGTTCTTCAGTTATTTTTTTTTTCTTTTTCAAGATCAAATTGCCTTGATATGTTCATTTTTCCTTGCTTGCTTTTGGCCGAATCACCGCAAGGCAGCAGCAGCGTAAAGAAAGTCAAAATATTGATTCGCAATGCTCGAAAAACATAAATGTGAATGAGATATAAAAGTCTGGGGCCGAGACATTGTTTTCATTTGGATGATATGATCTTTAAATTAAAATCGAAGTTATTTTATTATATATTTTTATTCTTTACGATTGTGGTTAGTTAGCATTAATCCATCGTTTCATTATAATTGACACGGAGGGGAATTTTTATTGAAGTTTTTTCCCTTTCATCTCATCGACATCGCTTTGAATAATTTCTGTGAAATGTTTAATAAAACGAAACTTCCCTCCGTGCATATCCAATAAATGTTTCGATGATTTTTGATTGAAGTGATCGACATGAACTTTTAAAAAGAACATAAAGATTATTTTGATCTCCTTATTTTTTTTTATTAGATTTTTCTGGCCGATCATCGTGCAATAATAAAAATAAATTTGAATAATCATCGTTTCTGACATTCTTTCGCATAAAAGTCAAAGAATTATTGTGATGAAAATGAAATTGAATGCGTATCATATTCATTTTCTTTCCCTCGAGACATTATTGATAATTTCCGGTCGCAGTGTTTTTAGAATTTTTTACCACTTATTCAATTTGTGCTGTTAGAAGCAGAAGTCACAACCGGCATTAAATATTTTTTCTTTTTTTTCAAAAAAAAGAGCATAAAAAGAATCACAAAAATATAAACTGTGATATCGTGGATTAATTTTATTCATCATCTTAATTTCTTCTTAAAAGGATCTTTATTCAAATGTCACGACATCAATGCCGGGTCATAAAACTGAACCCCATGATGAGACGTCCTTCCGCGACAACAACAACAACACACATGTGGAGTACGAATGGACAACAAATATTGATTTAGATGACATTTTTATCAGTGTTAAGACGACACAAAAGTATCACGATTCTCGACTGAAAGCAATCGTTAAAACATGGTTTCAACTCGCTCGAGATCAAGTAATTCTAACGACTTATTTACCTCAGCTCTTATCTATTTCCCAATGTGTTTAAGCAACATTTATTTAAACAAAACATTTTTACAGGTTTGGTTTTTCACTGATTATGAGGATGACGCTTACCAGAATTTAACGAGTACGTAACTATTTGTTTAAACTTTCTATCATCGTTTTGCATACGAGGCATGCCCACCATTTCTTGTCTTTTATTGCTTGCTTCTCCGAATATTTAAACCACAAAATTCAATCTAACGTTAAATTATGAGGAGAACAAGATTTAAGGAAAAAAAAAGAATTTCGCGCGACAACATAACACAAAATGAAAAAACCACGATTCACAAGAAATCGAAAATAAATAAATGATTGTTACGAAAATCACTTTGACATCTACAAACATTCTCATTAGTGCATAACTTAGAAATCGGGCAAACTGTTGTGATGAAAGCGATGCGAGTAAAAAGGAAGAGAAGAATTTTCGTCTCATTAGACGGGACCATCGCTACAATAGCTCATTAAAATGGTTAATATAAATCGATACGGTGTGTTGTATACAAACATATATTCCACTTGAATGTGCAACACGGCGCAACACAAAAAAAAGAAGCATCGACAACATAAATTTATTTAGATCTCTTTCCTTTCTTTTTGCGTAAGAATGCGAGAAGAAGATTTGAGATTTCATACAAGACACAAAAATCTTTTCCCTTTCGTAATTTTGCCTTCTTCTCTCGATTACGTGTTGAATTTTGAGGTAAATTCTACCGACAACTTAGAAAAAATGGGAAAGAAACATTCTCGAACAAGAAGTTGATCATTTTTTGATCATTAAAATATTTGGCGAGTTAATCTTTGCATTTTTTTATTCTTTCTTTGTTTTTACCGTATCTTGATTGATTGAATTGTGGTGGAAAGAAAAATCCTTTTGCAACCGTCCTAATTAAGAGAAAATTTCTGAAATTTTCTAAATAACAAAACTTTTATCTCGTTTCGACAGATCATCATATGGTGCAGACGAATTGCTCGCGGGGACACTTTCGGCAAGGACTGTGCTGTAAAATGAACAAAGAATTTGATTTCTTCTTAAGCACATCGAAAAAGTAAGTTGAAGCTTCATTTTTATTCATTCCAAATTGCACAACTTGTAAATGCTTAAAACGAAAAATCAAAAAGGAAAAACTTGAACTGTTTGCTTGTTCACCTTGTACTGTTAGCTGACTGTGGTGTATGAGAAACATGAGACACTTCGCTTTATTTTACTTTATTTTTTTGTAACATAAATCAATTTTCAAGTCGAATGTTATTTCCAGCAAACTGTTAAAAAGAATTCTTACATTTCGCTTGACAAGTTTAAAATAATATCCAATTCGAATCTGAATGAAATAATTTAGCAAGACTGAAATAAATATAAAAATAAGAAGAAACAGCAACGCAATGGTTAATTGACTTATTAAAATCATTTTGGGAGACTTTTATTTATGGAAAATTGAGAATTGTTTGAGTTATGTCACGACGACAAAGGAATTATAAAGAATTGTTTTGCTGATCATCTTCAGAAGTTTATTACCGTGGGTGACTAGAACTCAATTACGAAGTTTATACTTAAGAAGCAACAACACATGTTAGAAGAAGAATTAAAATCGAAAATTAGGTGTAAAATGTGGAGCTTGAAGTTCTCAGCGTGAGATCTAAATTGATATGTCTTCACTAGCCATCCCACACATCAAACTAATATGTGAAAGAAGAATAAATAAAAAAAAAAAAGAGTTTGGAATTCAAGCACCATGACTGACTTGAAGATTAAGTTTAACTAGAATTTTGTAACTAATTATTTTCGATTACACATCAGAATTGCCTATTAACTGCCAATTTGAATCATCCCGCAATCAAATCAAATAATGAAAAGGTGCGAGAAGCACAAACGAGTGAAATGAACAAAGTTCATGAAGCGAAGTATTTTTCTTTTCAATTTCGGAAAGAATAATGAAGGAAGCAGTACAATGAAAAGCGAAACATGTACAAGAAAACATTTCATCTCATGCTTTAGTCGTTTTGGTGTTTGCGTTGTTCAAGGAAGAAAGAAGTACATAGTCATCGTTATGAATTCTCTCGAGAATTAAGTTAACCAATGTGCGACGGCGGTCCCCATTCCTAGGAGTAAAGAAGAATATTCGAAAAACACCGAAACATAATTAGCTTTAAATAATATTTCTTCTTTCTAATACGTTAATTCCCAACATTTTCGATCTTCTAAAAGAGATCTCATTATTCGGACGAATGAAGAATAATGAACGTGTACAGCATTGACTTCTTTTGTTAAATGAGATTGATGAAATAATTATTGAATGAAGATTGAGGGTTGAGAGAACTTTGAGGCTAATAAACTATCTTTAAGCGTTATAGCTAACAGGCTGAAGTTTAATCGATTCTTCTCTCTAATTTATAATGACACGGGCTGACACAAGCTGATCTTCTGGTCATCCTTTAGATAGTTAAATGTCGAAAGAGAAGAGAAATATGAAATCAAACGTTGTCAAAATTTGACATCAACTAATGACAAATTAATAACATCAGCAATTCAACTCTTATTTATTCTTCCTCCTCTTTCTCTTCCTTCTTCAGATTTTGGTGTCATTTTGATGACGACAACTATGTAAATATACCGACACTAGTTAGAGTATTGAAAGAGTATCACGCCTATCAAGACTGGTACTTGGGCAAGCCCAGCATTTCTTCGCCAATCGAGATATTTTTAAATCCGGTAAGTGCTAGTTTAATAATCTACTTTTAACTTTACAACTTCGGACCAACATTAATTAATCTCTATCAATGTAGTTTAAAGCGCGTAACACTAACAGTGCTCGAAGCACTCCTTAGAAATATGAAACGAATGAAAAAAAGACGGAAAAAAATATTTAACAAATTGCAGCCGTAAAAAAATAACAAATGTTGTTTTTTTCTGTTTCTTTAACAGGCGATAAAAAGCTTAGAAAGTAAGAAACGAGCCAAAGACAATCAAGAGAATCAGAAAATTAAATTTTGGTTTGCCACCGGTGGTGCTGGTTTTTGTATCAGTCGTGCATTAGCGATAAAAATGATGCCGTTAGCAAGTAATGGAAAGTTTGTTACCATTGGAGATAAAATAAGATTTCCAGACGATGTTACATTGGGATTCATTGTGGAATATCTCCTGAAAGTTCCATTAACTGTCGTCAACTCTTTTCATTCGCATCTTGAGCGAATGGATCATATTGACGTTGATAGCTTTCGTGATCAGGTAATGAGAATTTAACTACATTTAGAAGACATTTTCCAACATATTAAACTCATCTTGTAATTGACCATTCGTTCGTCATTTGATAATTCCGGCGAAAAATTTAATTAAATTTTATGTCTTTTCAGATATCATTTAGCTACGCAAACATCAAAGACGATTGGAATGTCGTGAGAATCGATGGATTCGACGCTGGTGAAGATCCATATCGATTCTTCTCGCTTCATTGTTACCTCTTTCCATATTTTGATTATTGCAAAAATCGAAGTTTGTTGTAAAATTGTCAGAACGTGAATTGCCATTTTAAAATTAACATTTTTTATGAATTTATGAATTATCTGTGATCAATGCAGCTCTTTGATTTCATTGGATGGGAAAATATTTGTTAATGCTGCATTTAAAACCAGTCTTTAAGTTGATAAACTAATTTTAATTGTTAAGTAATTGTTACAATGACTTTGTGTATCTAATTCATCTCTCCTTTGCATGAATTGAATAACTAAAATAAATAAAATATGTGATTCAGTTGCATATACTTTTATATGTTTATTTAAAATTGAAAATAATAAATAAAAGAAATCAAATAAACAAAAGTTTTGCTTACTTTTTCATTCATTTGTTTTTATGACAGTTGGAGTTTCAGATTATGAACAATTTATGAAAACAGTATGTTTGAAAGTCTCAAGGCTAACATCATTCGCTGTTGAAGTTATTTATCTAAAACGATGATTGAAAATTGATTATAAATTTATGAATGTAGTTGGAAGCTTTTGTTTTAAGCCCACCCTCTTCCCATCTGTAATTAACAAATTCATAGTCATCATGAGATTAAGTTTTAATACCATTTTTTTATTTTTTGTTTTTCTTTTTTTTCATTTCTTTCCATCAATAATTTTAATACTCATCATGTTAAATTAATTTACATTAATTTAAATACAAAGTCAAATCGTCTACGAAAATCTTTCATTTTATTTACATCACATTGTTTATGTGAAAATTTAAATCTTCGATTGCGAAAGTTTTTTTTTGTTTTTCACTTAGTTATCATAAAGTTTTCAGATTATTTTTCTTTTAATTTATCGAGAGTTAAAAAAAGGGAAATAATAAATATCAAAATTTCATTGAAAATTGAAAAAAAAAGAGTCAATTGATCGATAAGTTTAGTGGACATGTGGTTAACCAAAGTAAGGCAATAAAAAGTGTTAAAAACCATAGGAGAAGAGACAAAAAAGGAAAGAGATGAGAGTAAGGCTCAAAGGTTTGTTGCACCCCGTAAAACCAATTGCATCAGTTTTGAAGGCAATTTTTTGTGAATTTTCTTGTTTTTTTTTCTCCTTTAATATAAATCTTTTTCTCGCTTTGTGATAAATTAAAATTATAAAATTCGATACAAAATTTGATTTAATTGTAGATTAAATCCTTTGGATTAAGATTAAAGAGAACTGGCCGAAAATTTATTTTCCTTGGAAGTTTTAATGTTTTGACTTAATCTGGATTAAAGTGAAGTGATCGAAACGAATTTTTGACCGTTTCAATTAAATTCGGTCAGGTTGAGAATGAAGATTCATTTTGATAAATTTCGGTCAGCAACAGTTTTACGATTATTAACTGGCGAAATCTTTCAATTTCATAAAATTTTCTATTTTGGATTATTTGGAAAATGAAATTTTCATATAAAAAGATTTTGTCACATTTATCCGTGGAAACTTTTTAAAACATTTTCATTTGATCTAATCTCAACAATTTCATTTTAAAACTGAAATTTGAATTAAGGGGGGAAAAGAAAGAAGAAAATCAAAGAAAATACTTTGAAGATTTTCATTTCATTCTTTTTTTTTCTAAGATTTGAATTGAAACCTGTTCTCATACTCATCATCATCATCATCATCATTGTTATCGTCGTAATTTTATATACAAACAAATTGATTTTTTTTCTTCTTTTTGTTAATTAATGAAATTGAGAAGAGTAGTAAAATACCAGAGACTCATTTCCAACATGCAGAAATCAATCTCTAATTATCACAGATCATCAGATTTTTCCTTTAACTTTTTCATTCATCATTTTCTTTTTACTTTTTTTTCTGTTTCTTAACTTGTTTGTTTTCTTATGCGACTAAAAAATAAGTTAATAAATGACTTTTTTATCTTTTTGTTTGTTTGTTTCAATTATTTTTCATTTCTTTATCATGCAGAATTACGCTAGAGCAGTGTGTAAGTGATAGAGTTGCATCAGCATTTGTACATGAATTGGTAAACACGAAAGTCGATCATGAGTATTTGAATCCATTGCAAGCCATGAGAGAACATTGTAGCCTTCGAGTACATAACGAAGCACATCAGCTGTGGTGTTTGAATCCAATGGATGTTCAATTTTTGATGATTGTTCTTTGTAATAAATGTCGTCGTTTTCTTTGTGAATCGAAGGTGAATGGATGTGAAGTGCAGTTTTGAGAAAAACTGGACAAACACTTTCGAGATGTGGACAACAAGCCCAAAACCATGAAGGCATTCGACCTGTTGGCGCTGTTGATACGAGATATCCAAGTGCTAATGGTTGTTGAAGAAGTTGACCAACCTATGATTAAAATATTTCATTAAAACCAAATTTATGACTTAAAATTGTTTAAATTTTCTCACCTCTTCAGCTTCTGGCATTGAATAAATATTTCTTGATTGTCCTGTTTGATTGTCAGTCATTCCAGGACTTTGTCGACTTTTATTTTCATCAAGTGTCAGTGGACTGCCACGGTGTGAATCTCTTGTTGGACTTGCTTGAGGTATACCAACAGCGCCTGGTAAAAATCATTTTGTTAGTTAAATTCAGTAAAATTAATTTCTCCCTGTTTTACTTACTTTCATTCCATTCATCAAACAAATGTTGAATGCCATTAATATCTTCATCAACATCATCAGTATCATCAATGATAAAATCTTCACCAAAATCAAGAGCATTCTCCAAATGTTGTTCATGAAATGTTGCTTGTGATGACTGAAAAAGTTAACAAAAACAAAAATCAATATTTCTAGTACTAGAGTAAAGTTTAGAACAAATTTGAAGTACTAGAACTTCAAAATAGTTCTAAAAATTATTTTTATTTACCTGAAGAATTGCACTTGTAGGAAACACCAAAATGTGAGTACAGCTAACATCTTGAGGTGTCGATAATGGTGATTGTGTCGATCGTTGACTAAATCTTTCATCAGGAGTAAATTGATCCGGCATAACACGAAAGTTTGAATCAGGTTCGAGTGTTACAAGACAAGCACTCCAAATACTCGGCACCGATTGTGGATACATTACAGAACATTGCTTACAAATATCTTTTAAGTACTTTGATGCTTTGACAAGATTTGGTTTACTAAGAAGCCACGACCATCCTTTCAATTCTCCATGACCAATTCTTCCAATTCGACCGATGACTAATCGCCATGGCTTCACTGTTTGCGACATCACGCCAAGAATAAAATCCATAAGCTTCTGAAGGGCAATTCGTCTTGCTGATGTCTTTTTTCTTCTCTTTCTATTCGGAACGTCTATATTAATTGTACAGTTTTCAAGAAATTCTCCACGTTCATCAGTCAAAACCGCTAGGAGCATGCTTTGATCTTCTGATAAACAATAACAACAGTACATGATGCTACTGCATTGTTGTTCGATTCCACTCTGTCCAAAGTTCTCAACATTCTCACTTTTTGCATTTCTTGTTGAGAGAATGTAAGGTGGCGTATAGAGCTTCACTGGCGCTTTATTTTTCTCATCTTTTGTCTTCATAAAGGCTTCAGCATTAGCTGCCGTTCCAAAACCAGTCAAACTCTTCACACTATTCGAATGTGACAAATAACGATGCGATTGCGTGAAAACATTTAACGCAAGATTTCTCATGTGATCACTCCAACGATTAATGTCACGATTTCTTCCGAGTTCAAGAATACTTTCTTGCGCAATTATCTGAACGCTGATGTTTGTTTTCACTGACTCGGGTATTGAACTTAAAACATTCGAATAATATTTTAAAAGTGATAAGCATGCAACACGTTCAAGTGACGTTGAATCAGTCCCACTTGTGAATGGCTCAACAATGTAAAGAACAATATGCGGTGGATTAGCAAGTTGATCAAGTTGTTGACTCATAATTTCCGATGTTGAGGTTGAATTGTTGAGATTTTCTTTCGTGTCATCTTGATCTGATTTCGGTGTGTTTGGACCTTTGTCATGATGTGACATGGAAGACATGTTATTGTTGTTATTATTGCTACCATTCGCTGACATACTCGAATCTGGCGTATGTGGTGGTAACATTGGACTTGAAAGCGATGATGGTCGTTGATGTGAATGATGATGATGATGATCTTTATAGCTGTTATGATTGTTATAACAATTCTCAGGTGGATTAAGTAAAGTTTTATCGTACGGAATCTTCGAAAGGAAGCCAACAAGTGACTGTTGAAAAGCAATTCCATAAAGTCTCAAAAGTTCATTAAGTTTATTACTGTCGAGTGACGATTGTAGCCAATCATCGTCGAAATTATTATTTTCTTGCTTCACAACACTTTTACCGACACGAAGAATTCCTTCCCACTCCTTAACCGGCTGATGTCGTCCAAGTCGACACATTTCGTAGGTTGTGCTGAGTTCCTTAAAGAACATTTTCACTCTCGATGTAATGAAATGATTATCGGGTGACACAACAATGTAAGCAATATCTCTTGGATGTGAATACGGTTCGAGAAGAAGTTTATCCCAAAATTGTAATGCATAAGGTGAGACACAAAGCCATTCCTTGTCATGTCCAACAACAACTGACGGTACTGGTTGCGGTTCACATTGACCAATACCACGGCCAGCTAAACGATGAAATTCACGCCATGTTAATGGCCCACGAACAGCATATGGCGCATCCCACAATCCTGTTGTTCCATTCTGATTAAATGCTTTTTGTAATAAAACTTGCATCGATTTCATAACACGAATAATATCTTGATTACTTTTCGGACCAGCTGCATTTAAATACGGCCACTTATGAACACTTATCGCTTGTTGTTGTTGCTGTTGTGAAAGTAACGACGTTGATTGTTTCTCAACCACTTGATTGTTGTTATTCTTCTGTTGTTGCTGTTGATTCGGAATATAAAGTTGTCGATTGTTATATCCATCAAATCTCTCGAAGACATAACGACCTTGTTCAAGTGCCAATGTGACAATGTCAAATGCATCGATATATTCAAGAATATTCACATGCTTGTTAGCAATTATCGGCGAATATTTCTCCTGATTCAAATGTTTAATTGCACGTTGAACAGAGTTTGATGAATTATGAAAAAGTGTGCATTGATTGCGTAATAAATCAAAGATTGGTGAAAGATTTGCAATGGAAATTTCTTTCATTTCTTTCATCGTTGAATCATTTTGTTGTTGTTGTTTTGAATCATCGTCGTTTTGATGTTGATTAAATTTATTTTGTTGTCGTTGTTTTAAAAGTAATGAAAGTAGTGAACGTTTCTTAAAGTTTGATGGATCTTTTGCCATTCCAGTAATTTCATGTTCATCTTCATAGAACAATCCTTGCTGATGTGCAAGCCTTCGATTGACAACAGCACTAAAGCCACAACGACAGAATATTGGATCATCGTCAGGATATCCTGTTAACATTAATTGCACACTGCTGCTGACGATGCACGATGGAGATAAAGCTTCCGATGATGAACTCGATGATCCGCCTGAACTTGAACTTGATGATGATCCCGATGATGAACATGATGACGATATGCTTGAAATGGAACTTGGTGAATCAGTTGTCAAATGATTCATCAAATTTCGATTATTTCCCATGTATTTAATTCCATTTTGGTCGCGTCGATTTGAGGCACTGAGTTTTCCTTCCTGACAACGCTCGACAATTGTCGTTAAATTCTCATTAAAATGACAACTTGCAGCAAGTGATAAATAAAGTCCACTGTCTAAGCCACGAATATTTCCAACACATTTTGGTCCAGCATTGCATACACAAATCGTACAACTGTCAAAGTTATGATCACGAAATATATTTAATGATGTATCATAAAGGAGAACATTAACTAAAAGTGAATTTGCTTCTGGCGTTTTCTGTCCATTTAATGATTGTTGCTGATGTTGTTGAAGTTGATGTTGTTGCTGTTGTTGTGTCATAAAATGATGTTGTGGATGATGAGGATGATTTCCTTTAATATTATTATTATTCGAGAGAATCTTCTGCTTATTCTCATCATTATTCGATGAAATGGAATTTAAATTCGAATTAAGTGATGGACTATGAATTGCAACATCGTAAGGTGGGGGCGGTTGTGAATGATGTGATGATGACATTGGCATACCAATTCCCACCATTGTCTTACGAAAGATTGAGTCTTGATGACTCATTGGTGGATATGGTGAAATGTAATTATTTGTCTGTAAGTTTGCAGGTGATGGTGAACCCATTGATGAGTGAATGGAAGATTTGAAAACGTTTGGTGGTGGAGTTGGACCTTGCGTGAGAAGTTTATTGATGATTGTGCTGCCAACATTTTCCGTTTTTATATTTTTAACTCCACCATAAGGTGACGAAGCCATCATTTTAACATTCATTGGACTCATGACTTCTTTCTTTATCTCAATTGAAGGCGGTTCTGGTAATGGTGGTGGATTTATAATTTCTTTCTTAATCATTAAACTTCCATTATTATCAGCTTGCAGTTGCTGTTGTTTCTTTCTTACTTCGTCTTGTTCCTTTTGCTTGATCCAAGATGGTTTGTAGTTGCAATTACTAGGAAGATTGATAGGAGGCAATGTTTGACTTAATAAATTATCGAGTGGAGCATATTTTGATGCTCCAACAATTGTTGATTTTTTTGGTGGTTTAAAGACAAAAGACCAATCGTCGATAGGCTCTTCGTGTGGACTGCCAAGATTGTGATATGAATCTGATTTCGTTGATGGCATCATGTCTATCGATTCCATGAGACTATCAGAAATGTTACCACAAACACCACCGGGACTTGAATTTGTATGTTGTTCGATGCTTGGCGGTGTTGGAAACATTTTCGAAAGTTCTTCGTTTCTTATGAGGCCAATTGTGTTAATATTATTATTATTATTGTTATTATTGCTGCTATTGTTGTTATTAATAAGTGATGATAATCCATTGTTAGTTAACGATGTAAAATTTCCAAATGTCATTTTTTCACGTTTAAATATTTCATTTTCAGACACTTCCATGTCGGCTGGATGACATCCAATAGATTTATTCGATCCTGGTGGTGTGTTGTCAACAAGCTAAAGACAAAAATTTAATTAAAATTAATTAAAAGAAATAATTAAATTAACTTACATGATCGTCATTCGAATTATCATCAGAATTATCAAAGATTTTATTTAAATCAGCATAGGATGGTTGAAGACCTTCACTTGTGAAGAGATTTTCACTATTTGAGTTCTTGTCAGGATCATTATCGACACCACCACTGCCACCACCAACACAATTTCCACCATTAACATTTCGATTATCTTTTCCACAATTATTATTGAGATTATTTTTTGCATCATCGATCTTTCCACTCTCATTGAGGTTTTGAATTTGTTGTACGAGATTTGGAAGAACAGATGAAGATTCACTGCATGTTTGTCCCGCATATAAATCATATTTTGTTGAACTTTTATTGTTCGATCGATTTCTATCCAAATCATCTGGTTTGAATCGTTTAATTGGATGATTCATCCTAATAATTGTCAAATGAAATAAAATTAAAGAGAAAAGTTTGATAAATAATTAAAGTTCAATCTTACCATGCATCCCATGTTGAATAATCGTACAACGATTGACTAATTGAATGATCTTCTTCACTAATATCTTCACAATCTTGAACTTTCAATGCTGGACGTTTCAGACAAATATTCTCCTTGTTATTTGTGTCGGTGAGTTTTTGTTTACTGTTGTTGTTTGATTTAAAATCAATTTTTGTGTTGTTGCCATTATCAATGCTACCTCCATCATTGTTGTTTGCTTGATGATTCGTTTGTGAGTTATCAGTTGTCTTATCGAAATTATTCAAGCTTTGTATGTCAGGCTTTTGATCAATATTGTTCTCCAATGATGGTGTCATCGATGGCGGTGAAACGTCGCTTGGTGGAATTGGTGAGAGAATATTTTGTTCATTCACTGGAACTGATGATGGTTGCGAATGTACTGATGATAAGTTATGATGCATTGGCGATTGTATGCTGCCATCTGATCCGATTGACATTTGTTGTACTTCATTTGTATTGTTGCTATTTTGTGTTTGAGATGCATTGCCCCCGTTGCTGCCACTACCACCACTACTCTGCTTTACTGAAGATCTAAAACGACCGCAAATAATTATTTTTTATTTTCTCGTAATTATTTCTCCATCTTTCTCTCTTTTCTTTTCTCTCTCTAGCATTATTTCAAAACATTCTTCTAATATGTAAGTGATTTATATATTTTTCTTGTGTGTTTAAAAGTAAACTTTTTTGGATAAATTAATCTCACAACTTAATTTTTTATGTGAGAAATTATTTGACCGCAATCTGTTTTTCTTTAATTCTTTTTTTTGGGAATATTTTCATGACTTGAATATTTACAGTGAACTCTTGATACAACAATTCAAAGAATAATTTCCCAATCACGTATTCGTATTAATTTTCAATGCATTGAAACAGTTTCTACTTGATATGCTTGTAACTTTTATGAAAAAAGTTTCCAATTAATTTTATGTTTTTGAATTTTCTTTCCTTATTTTGCATCAAAATTAAACTTGTACAAAACTTTCAAATTGAATCAATATGATGAGATATGAGAAGTTGGCGCTTATGAAACTGAAAACTGAATAAAAAATTCATGTCAACAGTTAAAAGTGCGCTAGAAATTTCTGTTTTGTTGTGTTCCATTTGCATCTCAAAATATTCACAAATTCTTTGAAACTGTTTCGTTGCTTAGAATTTTCTTTGAGTAAATCAGATATTTTGTTTTGTTCTCCTTTAATTATCCTAGTCGAGACAATCATCGAACTCTTAATCGATAGAATCGATCCCTTCAACTATTCTTATATCAAGGGTCCACTGTATGTACAAAAATATTTGTTTTCAATGAAAAAGGCTGTCATTATTATTCATCTGTGTGTGTGTGTAATTGTGTTGTATGAATATTAATATATTTCATGTTTATGTATGTGTGAAAGTAGAAATGAAAACTCAACCTTAATCCACTATCGTAAATAAATATCAATGAAAGTCGTTAAAATGATAAAAACAAAAGAATAAAAAAAGAATGAATAAAAAATTGTCACCAATAGTAAAGAAAACAAAGCAAAAATAACAAACCTAATATTGAACTTTGATGATGTAGAAGGTTGATTTGAGAATCGTTCCTTAGATTTTGATAACGAGGAATCGGAAGAAGATCTACATTCATAGGTAACAAAAATTTTATGATTTGTTTTGTGATCATCATCGAAATGCAACAATTTTTTATACCGTTTATGAAAAGGCGTTCGATTTCGATTACTGTTATTACGAAAGTTTGATTTTCCACTTATCGAGGAAGAATTTCCTGGCGTTTTAAGTGACGAAAAACTTCCGTGGTTTTCCACATTTTTGCATCTGCAAAAATTCGAAACACTTTTTAATAATTTCAATTTTTGTTAAACAAAAATAAAAAGAATTTTGTGTTGTTATCTTACAAACATTTGTGGTTAATTATAAACTTTTGTGAAAGTTAAAATTAAGAGAATCTTTCGTGAAGAAGCAGATGAATGAATTAAAGTTTTCTTCCTCTTTTTTTTTTAATTGATTAATTATGAGAAGAAGCATAATTATAATGAAAGCTGTACATGATGAAGTAAAGTAAATTTTAATCGAAGCATGTGAGAGAGAAATATGTAAGTCGATAATTAAAACCAACAAGCAGAAAAATTAAAAAAGAAAAAAACATGAAGAGACATTTAACTCACCTTGTACATAAACAATTTGACTTATGATTTGGTTCCACAAAGTTCCATGTTGTTGGATCAGATTTTTCAATACCATTAGCTGCATTGATAGAATTTTCAATATTATTTTCACTTTGCATTTCAATTTTTTCTTGCTCACTTTTCACGCTAGCATTTGTATATGCCGGATTCATAATTGAGTCTTGCCATGCACGTTCAGGCAATACACCCGATGCTGTCTTTTGTATACCATCGCAAAAGTTCAAAACACTTGACTCAATGCAATCTTTATCAATTTCACTACATCGATATGATGATTTCGTTTCACTACTATTTATAATTTTCTTATTATTTTCACTTATGCAATTATCTTTCTTATTACGTGATAAAATATCAGTTACGAGAACATATTTCGATGGATATAACATTTTGATTCCACCTGAAGAGTAAACGAGAACAAATTGATGATCAAATTCCTAATTAATTCAAAGAAAAGCGGGAAATTACCTGAAATTACTTCGACAAGCTGCGGCATATTCGATGATGAATTATCGCCATCAAGCTTCTTCATTGGATAAAAATTATTCCAATCATTCACAATTTTTTCAGTATATTGCTCGTAGTTTTCGCTTTTGTTGCCGGTTAATACTGCAGACAGTCCAAAAGGAGCCAATATCACCGATTGCACACTGACATTGTGATTAATATCATTAAAGTCTTCTTTATCATTATCATCGTTAAGTGAGCAGCTTTCAGTTTGTTGAGAATTCTTAATGACTTCATTCAAATATTCTTCAGTCAATGGTCGTACGGGTGGATGTTCTCTAATATCCATTGAAGCGCACACCGTGCTCTCACCATGCACAAAAAATGCAAACGAGAATGATAAGTGTGCGGAGCTTTGAAATAAAAACGAATAAAAATGAATAAATTACATGACTTAATCCATTGTCGTCATAAAATCGACAATTTTCTTTGTCTGAGTGTTGGGAGCATACGAAAGTTATGTCAATCTTAAAACATAAACTTCAGAGAACTCGCATTAGATTTGATGTAGGGAAGTCAAGATTAAGATTTCAAAATGCTTCATGAAAATCTGTTTCTATAAGAAAAGAAGCTTCCGACAAAGAAAAAATTGCGCAAGACAGCGATGATTTACCTTTTTCCAGCATTTTTCTCAAGCGATGGCTGAACAAACCATTTTCCTAAACGAAGTATATCTCTTGAGAGCAAACATCTAAAAAGTAATAAGAGATTTGACGTCAATTGATTTATTCACTGCTTTGATATAAATTCAATTGAATTTCCACGTTTACCTTTCAATCAAGTTATGTAGAGCTTTGAATAAAAGCGATCTGCACTCATAAGACAATCCGCTTTCCCAAGAACCTTGTTCAAGTGAATCTAAAAGAAAAAAGAGAGAGAGAAGGAAAAGAATTTAAGAAGAAAAATAAATTTTAAGATCTTCTTTTCCATGGAAAATGTCGACGTTTTAAATTTATAATAAAAACAATTATTTACCTGGTGATTTAAGAAGTTCAGGAGATACTAAATCTGTCAAGTCTGGCTCTTCGCCATACCAAAAAATCCACAATTCTTTGGCTGCGGTCAATGAGAGTGGCGGATGAATGACCGAGGTGCATCCGATTTGACTTATGTCAAACATTCCCAAGCCACCTGTTTGATCTAAGTCATTTTTATGTTGCGACACTCTTCGCCACACACATAAAATATCCTTAGCTAAGCATTTTGTATATGATCTAAGTACTGGGTCGTCTAAGGGGTCTCCAGTTGAAAGAGGCCTCTCATTTAAAACTAATTTCTTCCATTTTATTCCGCACAAATCAGCCTTCATGTAATTACGTGAAATATGAATAAAAAACAACAAAAGAAAGAAAGAAAAGTTAGTTATTAATGATCGATTATGATTTAAGTGCATGACGGTAGTCTTCCCACTCTACAACTCTTCATTCCTTCGACTATTCCCCTGTTAGAAAAATAAAAGCAAATTCGAGCGGTTGATGAACGAAATAAAAAATACAAAAATTATGGCGAAGAAAGAAATTCAGTTTTCGTGTTATTAGCAGATGGACTTATTAAAAATCAAAAAACATGTAAATATTTAACAGTCTGATTAGGTTCAACGAAATAGCGTTGCATCGCCCCAACAAAAATAAAAACTTAAAAGAAAAGAAGTGAACAGAAAAGAAAAGAAAAAAATTGTGACGAAATTTTTTTCTTGTAGACTGTTGAATGGAAAAAAAATAAACTTGAAGATGGAAACAACAAAAAAAAATACTAAATGTAAGTAACATTACGGTTTATGTGTACAATACACATGTACTGGAGGAATAGGTTAGCACATGAACGAGAAAATATGGACAAGAAAAGGAGAAAAAAACTATGTATGTGATTCGCTCAATTCCGACGAAAAAATAAAAATTGAAGAGAGTTATGTGTATCAAAGAAAACAGTTCTACACTCATTGCTGCTGCTGCTACCCACACAGCGACGCAAAATAAAAGAATTTTTTTATTTTACATTCAATTCTTTCGATAGATTGTTTTATTTATACCGAAAAGAAAGAAACGAAAAAAAACTCTGAATACCAGTTTTTGATGTACATAACCGTGTCTCTTTTTTTCTGTGTTATGAAGTAAAGCAAAAGAGTTTGAAATACAAAAATTTATTCTCTCACTTTCAAAAAAATGAAAGAAAGAAAGAAAAAAAGCGATAGCATTGTACCTAATTGCAATTATTTTGCCTCTTTTATAACATTATTTTTTTTCTTTTTCATGTTTCTCTATTCCGCATGTAAAACACAAGATGATCTTACAACACCGTGAGAGATACTTTTCTTTCTTTTTCAGACTGAATGAATGATAGAGAAAAGAAAAAGTGAGGAGAAAATAGGGAAGGAAGTGCGAAGCATAGAGCAGTACAAAATGACTATCAAAAAATACATGAAAATTACTCACCAAAGCAAAAAAGTTTGTGTGGCAATCTTCCAAACTTGCGCCGTTAGTTTGGTGGTTTTGATGCGTCATGGCTGGTGTAATATGAACATTTTTTTACAATTTTAACATAAGTAAGAAGTGTTTTCTCCCGCTCATTGCACTAGCTAAACAATCCAATTGTTTTGCATAATATTTTCGAGCGTTTGTTGCAGCAGCGACGTTGAAAAAACTAAAAAGTTATTGAATTCAAGTCTTCTCTTCTTCTCGTTTCTCTATTTCCAGTCAACTCGTCGAAGGTATTTCACTTATGTGCTTGTCTTATGCTTTAATTGTATTGATATTTATGTTTTAGTCTTTTCTCTTATATTCAGATATTTTTCCTTAATAATTTATCAATATTTTCTTATTCATGAATTCTCTCAATTTTTTTTCTTTCTTTTTCTTTTTGCATAAAAATGGCGGATAGCACTTCCAGAAGAAAAATTTACATAAGGTTCCACAAATTTTTCAATAAAAATCACCCTTTGAGAAAGAATTTAGGTGAACGTCACAATTGCATGTTGGGTTTTCGTAAGCATCTATACAGCTATAAATTATCTTACTATAGCTAATTAACTTTGCACTACTTTATATCTTTTTCACTTCTCCGTCAATCATATGCTTGCGTTGTGTTAAAATATTCGGATAAGTAAGGTAATGAATTGGAGAAAACAGATTTTTCCACATTTAAGAATTCAGACGAGAAAACTCCAACTGCTCTTTAAAGCACACATTTACACAAATATTTTCTTCTGTATTCAGTATGTAGTTATCTCCAATTTTTTTCTTCTTCTTCTTCTTCTTTCTTCACTAACACAATGAGATGCATTTAATGTTTAGATATATATTGTATATTAAAAAGTTTCTTTTTACATACAGCTCAGAGAAACACACTCCGAATGAATGTTTTAACTTTCCTTGAGAAGTTAAGCTATTAGATAAATTTTTAAACTAAGAATCGTCTCAAAAATGATTCGATTTTTATTGAGAATAAATGTGCGACATAAACGACTACGAGGACTTTTTTTCTTCAGCTGCTTATGAAATTTACTCAATTCTTTTTCACCTTAGGTCTCACGAGAAACTAGTTTAATTTATTTATTTACTTATTTTGTAACTTTCTTAATTGTTTTTCTCTCTCTCGATTAATTGTTTTTCTTTTCCTTCATAATTTCGCGAGAACTCACAATGTGTTTGTGTGTTTCTATAACTGTATTGGTTCTTCTTCTTTTTCTTTTCTGCTTTTTCGGATCAATGGCGATTTTCATAAACTTAAAGTTCAATTTACAGAGTTCACACTATTAAAATAATATGACTTTCATATCCCAATGATTTCCCGATAACTTGCAAATAATATTTTGATAATTTCACTTGTTACACTTAGCTTTTTACTGCTTAGAATTATAAATTTTTTAAACTATAGATGAATTCCTCTTTCGTCTCTTTTCTAGCATTTTAGCACTTTAGCACTTTTTAGTACACTAACATTATCATAATTTTAGTTCACTGAATTTTTGTATTTGAAAATACCTACTAACGTTTATTCTCAGGAAATTAATCGTAAAAAGATTTTTTCTTAAATTGTTTACAAATATTTCTGTCCTTCGAAAAATTTTCTAACTCCTACAACAACAACAAAACAACAAAATCTTTGATGTAATTTATAATTGATTAATTATTTACTTAGCTGTTTGTTGGGAGCTGGAAATAATTTGTTCTGCTCTCTTCTTAGATCAAGGTTTGATGCAAATTCTTAACGAAAATTTTATTCATGTAGATATTTGAAAAGTTATTGAAATACCTTCTTTTGTTGTTTCTCTTGAAATCAACTGTAATTTTCTGGAAGTTTTTCTCATTATTCGTATCTAATGCGCAAATTATCATTTCAGATTCTAAACGATTTATATTTTATTTATTTTTTTCTCTTTCACGACACGCTCATCGAATTATTTTTCTTATCCATCTTAAAAATAAGTATTTTAAATTATTATTTTTATTAATATTATTATCCAAACTTGCTTAAAAAAACGTTTTCTTTATTTATGTTGTTTTTATTATTTTTCTTTTAAATTTTTCCGATTCGTTCTGAAATTTCGTTAATGACTCGTTTCAAGATTCATACTAATATCGCTTTCTTCTATTGTTCCACTACTATTGTTGTTATCATTATCATTCCCAGGAGCAGCTTCATCGTCCGATACATCATCATCTTCGACGAAGTCTTCTCTTAATGGAATTCCTTCGGATTGTTCTGGTTGTTGATGAGATCTTATCACGGAATCAAACTTGTCTTTTATCTGATTGTTGGCTCCTTTTGGATCTAAAGTCAGAAAATTAAATTTATTATTTTGTGACATTAATAATCTCCACCCACACATTTCTCACCTAAATCAGTTGCCCAGCTGAAATGCATTAAAGCCAGATCAATATTTCCAAGTTGTTTATGAATCTTTCCTATCAAGTAGTAGACGACAGACTCCTTTGGCACGATTTGTTTCAACTCTTCCAGTTCACTTAACGCTTCTTGTAACTTACCAATTGAAAAGTTCATTGAAGCACGATGAAACTTACATAATGGATTATTCGGTTCTAATTTAATTCCTTCAGTCAGCGTTTGAATTGCATGTTCAGGTTTATGAAGATAAAACTGCATCACTCCAATATGAACAAGAATCACTGAATTCTTTCTATTAATCTTCAATGCATGACGATAATGAATCTCAGCGAGTTGAAAGCGTTCTTGCTTTGAATAAATCGTACCAATCCCAAACCAAGCGTTATAATGACGAGGATCTTTAAGTATAGCTTTACGATAACATCCGAGAGCCTTTTCAAGCTCTTCAGTCACGACAAGCTCATGTCCAAGGAGAGTATAAGAATATGGAAAATCTGGATCAACCTGAATCGCTCGATTAAAGAATTTTATCGCAGTGTCGTGCTCTTTCAAAGCTGAATAACAATTTCCAGCAACACACCATGTAATTGCCGACGTTTTATTATGTTGTATCATGTCTTGTGTCAACATTGAAAGAAGTGCATCCTTTTGCAGATGCCATAAGTCTGTGCTATAAATTTCCATAAATTGTAATCTAAATGGTTCACGTTTGTGAATTACTGTGAAAATCTTAACAGCTTCTTCGTATTCACGATTCTCATGATGAATCAAAGCAATCATTGATTGCACCCAACTACTGTTAAAATGACGAGTTGGAATATTCGATTCAAGAACGTTAACCGCTTCATTCATCTCATAATGTTGTATGTGCATGTAAGCTTGACCAAGTTCTTGCAATAATTGCAACAAACCATCAGCACTTTGTCTCTTGAGACTCGCAATATGATTACTTTGTTGCAAATAACTCATATCATTAATTAACTGAGCTGAAGTTATTGTCTCGCTTCGCTCTTTTTCACTCAGCATGTTATTCTTCTCATTCAGTTCATTAAGTGTCGTTTTACTCGACTTTGATACACGTTTATTAGCTTTCTTCGATGGTGGTGAACGTGGTTGAACAAACTTATTCAAGTTCGGTGATTTATTATTTTCTTTAACCGAATAATTACTGAAAATTCTCGAGGATCGTCGAACACTTGGATAACGTTGATCCTGTTGTTGTTGCTGCATGAACTGAGTACGATTAGGCGTGATATTGCTGGATTGATTAAGAACAACAGGCTTTGTTTGTTGAAGTGGTGTTGCAATTTCTTTTCGTGTCACTAAAGAATTTAAATTGCCACGAATCTTTTTGTTGCTGTTATTTTTCTCACAATCGATGATTTGTTGTTGCTGCTGTTGTGTTTGCTGTTGAGTGGTTAATGGTGGTGATGGTGTGAGGAAGAGAGTTGTTTGTTTTAAACTATCAAAAGGACTGTTCAAAGGTAAGACTCCAAAGCTTGGTGTTATTGGAATCATATTTGATTGAAGATATTTAAATTGTTTACGATATGGAGTCTGTTCATGAATGCGTGGTTGAGATGTTAAAGATGTTTGGTTTAAATTTTCCATCAATGGTGTATCTTCAACGTCAACTTCAAACTTTTCTATATTTGCGTTATTTGGTGTAATTACACAAGTAGGCGGCGGCTGCTGCTGCTGCTCATGAATACTGACATTTTTATCATACAAATGAAATTCTGGCGATGGATTACTCCACAACTGTCTTTCTAACTGACTCAGTAATTCATCGTTTCTTATTTGAAAGATCTCTTTAGGATTGGGGCGCTCACCCCGATTGCACAAATCGACAAACGAATTCCATAGAAAAGGATTTTGTTTGAGTGATGCACGACAGCATTCATTGGCCATCGCAGCTCGTTCAGTTTGCTTGCATATTTTTGAGAGTAATTGCATTACAAAACCACTCAACTCACCAAATTCCTTACAAATCTCATCAAGATCGCTTATCGTCTTTGGACTCTTATTTTGACATAAGACGCTTTCAGCCTCGGAATAACTAAAAGAAAATTTTCGTTTTATTATTTCATTTTATTTTTTATTATTAAAGGTGCAAGAGGAAACTTACTGCTTCAATTCGTATGCACATTTAGCTAGCAAAAACTTTGACTTTTGTGTTTGAGCTCCCTTTGTACTGAGCAGCCAATAGGCTTCATTTGTTCTTCCCGATCTGTAGTAACAAGTTGCCAGAAGGAACAAACTTTCGTCTGTCTCGACTGATAAAAATTATTGATAATGATATGAATAATCACATATTCATGTTGTTTGTTTTACTTACTTTCTGAGCATAATCTCTCAGCTAGAAATGTTGCATCTTCATATGCGTAGAAATTTAAATTTGTCCAAATTGCAACCTTGTGAATTGATTAAGCATTTAATGTAGTTAAACGTCACTATATTCAAGATATATTATAATACTAACCTGTACAGGCTCCTGAATTAACATTTCCAAACTGTTTTGCTTTGATTAGGTCGATGAATCGCTTTAAATCGATAGAGAATAATTGAAATAAAAATTTCGAAATTTCTGCAAGAGATGCAAACCAGTTTTTCGTTTACGATTCACTTGTTTTAAACTAACTGATAACGGTTTAATGTATCCAAATATAAGTAAGAGAAATAAAGTTTGAAAAATTTTATTCAATGGAAAACAATGAAAACAATCCAATATTGCAATTTTTTCTTAAGCTTTATTCTCATTTAATAATTTTTAAATTAGATTAAATTTGAACTTTTATCATTTTTTTTGGTTTGCAACTCTGAACAAATAAATTCAAAATATTTTCGGCCGTTAAATTTTATTATGCTGAGTTTATGCTTATGCGATGTGGGTTGAAATTGAGTTTCAAAAATTGTTTGCAATCAATATGGTAATAACTACCTGCATGAAACCATTGTAGAATTAATGTTAATGAGTTTCTTTTTCTACAACCTAGGAAATCATGTTAATCGAAATTTAATGATCGTTCAAAGTTTCTAAGAGTTAATGAAATTTCAGAATTTATAACAAAATGACAAAAAAAAGAAGAATTATCAGTATTTTACTCATAAAAAGGTCAAACAAAACCCTTTTATTTATTAATTTATTTGTTTTATTTTATGATCTTTTTTCTAAAATTACACGATGAATGAAAAATGCTCTGATAATGAATTTACATTGTTTTGTTAAATCTTTCTTAAAATGTTATTTGATGCATTTAATCGTTGCTCAACTTCAGATGCTTTTAATTTCTATAAAACTGTTGACCCTGTTGTGGTCGTTTTGCTTGCTGTTGAGCTTTTAAGTTTGCAAGAAAATCTTCAGATTCGATATCTTCTTCTTCTTCTTGATCTCTCTTGTCGGGATCACCTGGAGAAATGGAAAAAATATTAAAAGATTCTTCAATAAAATGTTTAATAGAAACTCACATAAGATTCCAGTCTCGTATTTGTATTCCTGTGAAAATTCAAAGAAATAAGAAATAGTTAAGTTAAGTTTATAATTATTAAGATATCAACAAACCCTTTTCTCGCCATCTGGATCCACATAACTGTAAATGAATTAAAAACAAAATTTCTTAAATAATTTCCTCGGATTTTAATGAGAAAAGCTTACCCGTAAATTCCTCTAGTGATACAATCAATGCCGATAGTTTCTTCCTTGAATGATCCATCATCATTTTCGAAACCCCAAGTAATGGAACCGTCCGGATTTTCTTCGCGATATTTTCTCAAAATTTGTGCAACTGGCTTCTTGGGCTTGTCATCTGAATGATGTGGTTTCTGTTGTGCTCTTGGTTCGTCGTAGATTTGAGCACGAGGTCTTTGTGGTTGGGGTTGTGGAATGTTGCGTTGGGGTGCTGGTCTCGGCCGTTCGATGTTGAATCGTTGAGCATTTGACTGTTCCTGAGATTGATAATTGTCTTGGGGTTCTGAAGTGAACAAAGCTCGTGGTGGTGCTGGTTGAGCTGGCTGATGTTGAACATATTCATCTTCTGCTTCTTCTGTCACAGGTTTAGCTTCATCTATAAAGCGAGCTTCTGTAATGACAGGTTGCGGTCTTTGAGGCCGTCTGACCTTAATTTGTTGACCTCCAAGTGCTCTACCTTGTTGATTTCCTCTTAGAACAGGTAATGGAATAGCACCAGGAATATTTAAACGAGGTGGAATGGGGCCATCGAATTGTGCGAGCGTCGTCGCCAGACAATAGAACTGGTAACAAATTGTACGAAAAGAAAAAGTTGTAATGAACGAGGAAAGACCTTCAAAACATAATCAACAAGTTTTTCTTCTTCTTCTTTTCTTCCATCTCAACAAGCATCAACAAAGATGCAGTCACGCAAGTGTTACACATTTTTTTACCATTGCATTTCTTTAATTACAAGGTCAACTGCCTTGTTGAAGTGCATCACGTTGAACCATTTTACTTGCATTCATTTAAACAAGCAACAAATGACTTTCTTAGCCACAACAATAATTTGTGCTGCTTGATGCAGTTTGAAAATTGCAAAAACTTTTCATTCCACTGGCTCTTCCCACTCTTCTATCCGAATCTTTTTCTCGTCATGTTTTCTGCACCGCATAAGATTAACTCGCGATTAGCATAACTTTGAATATATTTAAAAATGTGCTTATTGTCGATGTGATTACAAAACTTTATAATTGACAAATATTGTGAATTAGATGTCATGCGGTTGTGATGAATTATGTATTAACGAAAACTTTCAACGCGAAATTTCTTTTTCTTAAATTATTTTTAACAAGTTCGTGAAGTGCATTAAACTGTCGCTTCTCTCCGTTGTGATTTGTCTGCTTTCTTTAAGGCGTCAAAAGTAAAAATTTTACCATCACAGCCACGTGACTTACATGACTCGATTTCACTAACATAGGATATGGATTGTGATTACAATTAAATTAAAAAGCTGTTTCTTTCTTTCTTTTTTCTAAGAAAACTCTCCTACAGTCATTGAACATTATTGGAGAAAAATTAGCGGAAGCAAAAACCTCAAACAATCAAAAGCTTTTATTTCAAAATCAAATCGCAACTTTTTTTTGTACTTTTAAAGTCAAAATTGTGTATCGATCTTTAATTGAATCATAAGAAATTTTCGTATTTCATAATCTGAAACAATTAACTCTTACGCTTTCTTTCCTTTTAAACGAAATGGAATGATTGAAATCATGTCTTGTTTATGTCTCAGCATGATGAAAATATTTTCATTCATTTGACATTGGATGCAAATAAATATCGAAAATAAAGCTGACAACCTAATGAAACATTTATGTTAAATTTTTGACCCAAAATCAAATTTCTCTCCATCATATTTAGATGAAAACAATTGAAGGCGGGTGTACGACTGCTGAAAATTCCGTGAATCATTACATAACTTAAAATAATTGTATCACAAGCGCAAACACCAAAATCAGCTTTCGTTTCTCTTTCTCTCTTTCTCATAAACGTTTTAAGTAGAAATCAGATCAACATCGTTTCTGCGGGACTGGCGTAAGATTTTTTCTTACATCGGCATTTCATGTAAGTAAACATTAAATTTATTAATGTTGAATTTTTCTCGCTTATTACATACGAACCGAAAATATTTATGAGCGAAAAAAAATTGTCGATTTTAGATGATCATCGAGTGTTATAAATGTAAAAATATTAAAATGAAGTCCTAAGACTTGAGGAAGTTTTTTTGTGAACTGAAGACATTCCTTAAATCTAACCAGTAGCTGGTCAACCAACAAATAAACAGGAACATTAAATAATAAATAAAAGCCGATTGTTGAATTTCTTATATTGAAACCGAAAGTATCACAATAAGAAGAAAAATCGAACATTTAAAGAAATTTTTCGATAGGTTGGAGTTGATAACATAAATGTCACAACAAGGTCCATAAGACGTAAGTTTCAATGGCCAGTGTTAATAAAATAAAATCAGTCATCGTTCTTCCATTGACCTTCGAGCTTTTTTATTTTTTTTATCTTAGGTCGATTCTGCGTTTTTCTTCCCTCTACAGATTCGGGGTTGATGGCCACTTTTTTTTTGCTGTTAATTTGGTGATTAAGACAAGACTGCTTATGTTGAAATCGATTTCTGTTGTTGAACGACGTTTGAGTTTCGATCGTGAGTGGAAAAGTTGTTTGCAAACTTAATTAAGTAGTTTTGACTTTCATACCTTCTCGTGAATAAAGCGAATAACAAAATAAATTATTTCATTAGAACTTATCGTCGAGAGTCTTAGTTTAGTGGGGAAAACTTTTCCAACTTATTATCTTAGTTTTTTTTTCTTTCTTATTTCATGAAAGTGAAAAGTCTTGATTGAAGAAACTGATTTCCATGAATACGAAACAAAGAAAGAAGGAAGAAAAAAAGTTTTTTTGGCTCATGTTTTTCGGTTTCTTTTTTTGTTCTGATCGAAAAGTTATGAAGAGTTGAAGAAGGTACAAAACAGAACACTTTCACTATAAATTTCAATCAACTTTATTTCACAAATTACATACCGTCACTAATAATACTTTCATGATTTCCGCTTAAATTTATCTTTTAATTTAAATCAACTAGATATTTTAGCAATAAAAAAAATTAAACTTGTTAAAGGAAGTAAAAAATTTATTTACTGAACTGCACTGTCTTAGTAACTTTAAGCGAGTAAACACTAATAATGTGAATCAGGTTATTATAACCCAGCATGAGTTTTATACCAACCATCCCCACTTTAATGCAGTGTTGCTTTTTTGCTTACAATTTATCAGACATAATTGTGATGCCAGCTCGTTTTTGCTATTTACGCTTTGATCATGAAAGTCTGTGAGTAAAATCACAAATCAGGCAAGCACAGAATAGGATGAAAAGCTGAGAGTAATTACACTTAAGACATTCATAAAACTTCATTAAATACTAGAAAAAAATTCTTATTATCTATCTTCTATCTTCAATATAAAAATCTTTGTTGTATGCTTGATGACAAATCATGGTTTGGCATGGAAATTCGGATTTTTGCTTAAGAAATATCTCATAAATTTAATATCTAATTATGAATTATGAATAACATTACTTAAAATTATCACAACATAATATTGTTCATGTTTAAATATTTATAAATATCCTTAAGGCTCTTAAGTACTGGTAAACATACATTTTTTTCGTCATTCTTTTTGTAAGAAAAAGACGAAGAGAGGTGAGTTGAGTTCTTTCTAATAATAGCTAACAAGATTTCCTGTAATTAATAAGAAATTCGATAAGCGATATCGATTAATTGACAGTTAATTTTTATATCTCATCACGATACGATGTATTAAAGTTGCTAATGAAAATGAATCGTGAAACGGGAAGAAGAAAAATTGTCGCAAAAGAGAAGCCAAAATCTTCTTATTCGCCAACGACATATCCATTGTTGACATGTGGCGTATCTGGTCGTGTAAAAGTTTGCCTGAAAGTATACAATCAGCTATACATGTACAGTAGACATTCTTAATTATTCTTACGGCTTCTTCATCGATTTCTTTTTAATTAGTAAAATTGAAATTCCTCCTATTCCACCTACAACTCCCATTATTGACATGGGAAGATGAATGTCGATGTGTTCCTGAAGGAGAAGAAGAAGAAAAAATTAAGGAAAATTTATCGACAACATTTCAAATATAAATTTCTTATTGCGCTTTTCCATCTTGTTAATTACTTTAATATGTGTTAAAGGGAAAACTTTGTAACTTACCAACAAAAATATGTAAGGAACAAGAACCAAGGCAAAGCCTGCAGCGAAATTTCCAGCTCCAATTCCAAGATTTCTCATGTAAACTGTAATAGGTAATTAAAGTAATGCCAAAGTAGTCGCAATAAATTTTGATGCTTACCTGGATATTGTTCCGCTGTATAAGTTGGAATGAGAGCATTACATGCACCGACACTTATCTTAACTAAAGAGAAACATTAATTAAAAATTAAAAGCTAAAAGCTTTTCATTTTCATTTTCCTTACCGATCATTGCTAAGCCAATTGTAAGAAACAAATTATCAGCTCTTGCAAGGTTAATCAATAGACAAGCAGCACCAGCGATAATTAAGTAAATGAACAAATTGACACGAAGACCCAACTTAAGTACCACTAAAACACTGAATGCAATGCTACACGCCTCCACCGACCCGGCAATGATCTAATCGGGGATGAAAATGAAAGAAGAAGAAAATTATAATTATCTAATCGCAAACTATTTATTTTCCACTCGAATAACTTTTCCTCTTTCGCTTCTCCTTCATTCGTATCATGGATGTTGCAGAAGAGAGAATGGTTGTGGAAAAGGAAGAATACTTAACATAGAAACGATAAGCATTACCGTGTTAATGTAGACATTTCCGCCCAAAGAGCTCATGTGTAACGTGATGCCGAAGTAAATGAGGATAATTGAGAACCAGATAATCGTCATCAAGAACGTTGTTCGCTTATATCCTTTCTGAAATAGATCGAAAATTGACACTCGCCGTTCGGTGTCGGCTTGAGAAACGTTCAACGTCTTTTTGAAGTTTCTTGGTAATTTTCGTTTGTTCCACACGCTTGCTTTCTCGATAATCACTGCCAGCTCGTCAATCTTTCCACGTGCCAGTAACCATCTGATCCATTGAGTGAATGAAAGAAAGCAGTGAATCATTAAATAAGCTAATAATTAGGAGGAAGAAGAGAATGAATTTACCTTGGAGATTCAGGCATTGATGGCCAAAGGCACAGAAGCAATAAAGTTGGAAATGTTATAACAAATTGCATCGTACGCCAATTATAAGTGAGATATGAGATTCCCGCACAAACGATATATGCTATTGCAACTGGGAAGATGTTCATAATCCCAATGATTGTACGCCACTTGCCACTAACAAGTTCAACGCATAAAACAAAGCTAACAACTACAACAGCCATCGAACAAAACCCAATTATAACACGAAGCATCATATAAAGTTCAAGTGAAGCACACATTCCCAACATTATGCCTGGAACAATTGAAGATGTAAAAGTTTTTAATTAGGAAGATATGAGAGAATATCTGAGAAAAGGTTTTGACCTCCGGCTGGCTTTCTTTGCTTTCTCAAGAACTGAACTTGACGAGTGAAACATGTTCACGATTGAACTTCAAAGTTTGTGATCATGAAAAGGAATTGAAAGTTTGAGATTCTTAAAAGCTTTCAGCTTTGTGAACTTTGTTTCATTAACAACATTTTCGTTTCAAGTTTCGATTACAAAATCCAATTTCAAAACGTTCTTTTTGTAAGAAAACATTTTAAAGCTTAAAACATTTCAATAAACCTTTTTTGTGCTTGAATGTCTATTAATAAACTTATTAATATTTTAATTCATTCAAATGTTCTTTTTATAGAACAAAACTATTTTTTTTATTTATTTTTGATCTGCATGAAATTAAATTCCAGACTTTCGTTTGTTCTACCGATGTCAACAATAATGACTGCTATTGGCATTCAATAAACAAATGGTGTTTATCTGTTATCCACATTTGTGTGCATTAAGCGGCGCACATTGGCGTTGAATGACCAAAATGAAGCTTGTCAATCATCTGACATTTCTAAGCTTGAGTTTGTTGTTTCTTTCGTAACGCTGAAAATGACGATTTTATTTGAAGGCAGATTTTAAATACATTGTTATTCTTTAGTCAGAATTGTCGGAAAGAGTTTTATTTTACTTTGACGAGGTTTATATAGATTAGTTCAAGGTTGAACTAAAGTCGTGAGATGCAATTCTCTTATCTCTCTTCTTATTACATTACAACACTTTCCTCCTTAAAATCTTCTTCTCAAATTTTTACTTTAAAAAAAACTTTCTGCATTGCTAATAACTTTCAATAAATCTTTCTCATAACAAAACTAAAAAATTGCTTCTATTGTTGAATTCACTTCTGCTTTGTTCTTCAGTCCTTCGTTGTGTGGCGCGGTGCTTTCACGACAAATTCTTCGCCTTCAAATTGCCAAATTTTCTTCACTAACCGCCCACGTGTGTCTTCTCTAGGGACCTTCACATTTAATCAAAAAACTCTCTGTTATCTTCCTCCACGATTTGCCCGCTTTTCTCTGCTAGTGGCGGCTTAACCAAATCACAAACTTGCTACAGCCCTTGTTGCTGTTCTTCACGCTTCTCAGATTTGCCCGCTTTTCTCTGCTAGTGGCGGCTTAACCAAATCTTCTTCCTTCTTCAAAAACTCAAACTTCTTCGTCCAACCTTCCAAAGGAAAATCTGTCTGCTTCAGAAACTCAGATTTTACGGCAACTTTCAATCTCTACTTTTAACTTTTATCGATTAACTAATTTCTAATTTAAATATACTTCAATTTTTACTTCTTGCTTTGCACACTTTAATTTTCACGTTTTTATTCTCGTCGCCAATTTCGTAACGCTGAAAATGACGATTTTATTTGAAGGCAGATTTTAAATACATTGTTATTCTTTAGTCAGAATTGTCGGAAAGAGTTTTATTTTACTTTGACGAGGTTTATATAGATTAGTTCAAGGTTGAACTAAAGTCGTGAGATGCAATTCTCTTATCTCTCTTCTTATTACATTACAACAGTTTCAAAGTTTCATTTAATTATATTGGGAATAGTTTTTACTATCCTTAATGACAAGATCTAAACGTTTTTGCTTTATTATTTAATACAAGCCGCTTGTCTTCTTTGTACTATCGACCTATCAAACGCAGTTGGTTGTTTCCATGAAATCTCCATTTAATATCGTATTTTTTATCTGCAACTTAGACACATCAATTTAAGAATCTACTTCCAGTTTTTGCACAGACAAATTAATTGTTGTAAGATTCTTGAAATTGATATTCTTTCTAGAATCTCGTGACTTCTTAAAATAGTAAGTTGGGTAGCTGAGAATAGTTCAGTGATGTTAGATGCCAAAAAAGTAATAAATTATCCGACATTTTATTGTATTAAAGAGAAGATTTGAACGTTTATCGTTTTCAAACTAATTAATCTAAAATTTTGAAATGTTCTAAGATGACCAGCAGATCAATTCATAAAAATTTTGCGGAGATATCTGCAAATAACGAAGAGATGAAATCTTTTGAAGGTTTATAAATGACGTGTCGAAAATCTAATAAAAGTTCACTTTGTCCCTTGCACAGCTCGAATAACGAAACATAGAAACAATGTTCAAAATTCCACGCGCAATTTATTTTAAATAAATCAATTTCAATCGATCTCTCTCAACATGTTTCGAAACTTCATTAAATAGTTTGACGCAGTTAATTACACTTTGATCAGACTTAAAAGTTTGAGAATTTCTCGATTAAACTTACCAGCAACAAGTTGAATGCTTGCAAATGTCATTAAAGTATTTTTTCTTCCATGTTGGTCGCTTATCCAGCCACTTGTTACACTTCCTAATCCCGCCCCCGCTAAAAAGCAAGACTCAACGACACTACCCAAATACAATCGATCACAAACTAAATTCCATTCCGATATTAATGTCTTTCCAATCAAGCTCATGTCGAATTCCCATGACTTGCATTTACTTAACTCGATGTTTGATGTGTTGGCAAAGAAATCACTGAAAGTGAAGGCATCGAGTGTTGCGTAAGGTGCGTTAAGAATTGTGCATTGATCTTGAGGTTGCGTTAAGTTTCGCCATAGATCGACGGAAATCATTTTCAAGTTCTCCGGTCGTGAACACCAAAAATCTTTTGGCGCAGCCTATAAAAATATTTGTAAGAAAAGAAATCAAAATTATTTAATCTCGTATTGTAAATTTGATTTCATTCATCTATTCTATTTATCTACTTCATAAAGATTTAAATACAAATGTCATCGTTCATTCACTTGAACTTGACACATCAAGTAAAGCTCCCAAATTTTTAAATATGTCTATTATTCAATCTGATGTTTCTTTCGCATGCGTCGCCTGCGAATTCAAAAGAAAATCTTTTGTCAATAACTTTGTCGAGGTCACATTTCACCAGTTTCTTGCTAAGGCCGTAAATCGAGGTTCAATCCACAAAAGGATTTATCTTTTGACACACGTTTTTGCACAATAATCTTTTCTGTTGCTGGTTATCACTTCACAAATTCACAAAATGTGGAAACTAAAGGAAGATGTGACTAAAGTAAAATTCGAGCTGGTTGAATGAATATTTTTTACTTCACTTCAAGCCTAATAAAAGTATCATCATTATTGGTTTAATGGATGTAAATTACATATTGCGATTGCTGTTATTATTCCATAAAGCTTTAAACATTTAATGGAATCATCTAATTCATTCATCACTATCGCTTAACAAATCACTTCCAGACAGCGTGTCGTTCAAAACTTATTCATAAATGATTTAATCTAATTGCAATTTTCAATTTCTTTTTTCGTCAACTTTAAATGAATAAACTTAATTATTTTGTTCACAAAACAATCAACAACGTTGTTAATGATTTATTACATTTTATTGGTCATAACAATTTGTAAAACTTAAAAAACTTTAAAAAGCTATTCGTGCAGATGACAATTTACTTTCAAAACTACCGATTGAATAATGAAGAACACAAAAAAATTCTTTGTTGATTCACGTGATGCTGTAATGAGTTTAATTAATCATAAGTTAATGACTTTTGTCTTTCCTCATAATTTAATCGAAATAACATTAAAATTGCACTTTACTTACGTTTCCTACATATTAAAAATTCATTAATAATTGTGGAAATGAAGAAATGAATTTTTTGCTTTTATTAATTAAAGAAAATGTGACTAAAGGATTGGATCAGTAAATTAATCCTATCTTAATCCTTTCCTAATCCTTCCTTAATCCTAACTCCAATTATTAATCGACTTCTTTTTTGCAGCATCTTTTGATTTAATTTCAATTATAATTAATGCATTAATACTCAGTAATAAGTAATTAAACTTTAAATTTCCGTTGTCTCGCAATAGCGATCTTAATTATATTACCGCATTTTATTTTGTTAGCTACAAGATCGAAGAAATAAATTTGATAAATTCAGAAACGTAAAAAAATTATTTCGATCAAAAAGTTTTTTCTTCAACGAGGTAGAAAGAATCTGTAACTAAAGAATTCGGCGTTAATTAGAACGTTTATTTTTACGTTTCTCATTCCAACAGATATAATAATGCCACCCGGTTTGTGTAATTCCAGTAGTTCTCCAGATTAAGTTCGATTACTAATAATATTATCAATTGAAAGTGTGCGTTTGATCGTTACTCGCCTCAAGTAAAATAATTTTATGCTTGGCATGCGATGTTAATCGCTCAAATTTTGCTTGCTTTACGAACACAAGTTGCGTATTAAACACAAAAATAAGAATATTTTCGTTGAAACCGAACAAAAATTGTTAGTTTTTGTGCCATAATTAAGATTTATGATTTGTTACTTGATCTACCATGAAAAGAATCAATAAACGATCAGCAGACAGTGTTAAGAAATTCACTTCCGAAATTGACCTTCGGGAAAGCAATCGAAAGCTATGAAGTAAATTTCAAGTTCACACTTAATGCTGCAAACTTGTTATCTTGCAAATGATTTACTAGCTCAATCGACATCAGACTTTGTGTATGGAAATAATAACACGGGAAGTATGAAATCGATCTGGTCAGTCACCTGGCTGTTTAGTGAACAGCTGTAGAAAGGATTGAAATGAAAAATGAATTATTTATGTCGAAATGAAGTTCAGTTCAACTTTATTTAATTGAATTTTCGCGTTTTAAAACTTTTTCTACTATCTCGAAAATACTTCCCCCGTTTATTCAATAAAAGTCATTTTTCAACTTCAGTTTCATCTTTGACTCAATCATAAAACTTCTGTTAGCCTACATATCCATAGCAGCATAAACATCGAATTTAAAACCATAAATTAAAAGATTGCAACAGGTTGAAAATTGCAATTTAAGACTTCAACTTGTTGCTACTCGATAAATATTTTTATAAAATGCGGAATCATAATTATCAGTCTAGTGAATTAGTTTTCAAATTTATTAGAATTCTTGTCATTTGAAATGATATGAAAAAAGTTAATAATTGACTTGCAATGAGAGTTCGAAATTACATCATTTAAATATTTAAATGAATTTTCGCAAAATGTGTGACAAACACATGGAAAATTCATTTACGTAGTTGCACAAATATTTTTATTTAAATTCTTCTCGTTTTTATAGGTCTAACAAAGAAATAAATTAATAAGAAAAAGCATTCCAAGCTTGTCATGACATCACTGCCAAAGCCTCCCCAATTATTCAAATAAATGTTTGTGAAGGAGCAACTTGCGGATTACTGGCTATTAATGATAGTCTACAAGACACAGATTGGCTTTTAACTTAACTTACTCAATTTATCTTTTAGAAAAATCTTTGATTCTTTTTTTCCAACACCCAAAAAAGCTTACATAAGTTGTTATACTATTTTATAATTATCCAACGGCATTGTTAAAAGCTAAAAGCGTCCATCAAACTCCGAAATAAATCTGCAAACTTGACCTTGACATTGATTAATTATTTTCTCGCAGAGTTTACTTTGGAGTGCAAGTTTAAGCTTCACAGCACAAAGCTTTCGATCTCAGGCAAGGTTTTAATTTTAATTGGCGATTTCATTATTTTTTTTCTATTAAAATTCTTATCACAATTTACTCAACTAGTAAATTGATTTCTTAGTAAATCATTTGATGACGATGACTTTGAATATTTTCGTAGATTGATTAAAAAATGTGCAAATTATTTTTAAATTACTATTACTCGCATGTCAATGAGATAAAATAAAGTAAATAGGAAAATTTCTTATCAAAGTCATGAAGATGGAATTTTTTCTTTGTTTTTGTTTCATTATTTCAGTGAACCTTCCATTGAAATAGAAACAATAAAAGCTACTTGTAGAGTTAAGCAAGGCTAAGAATTTCACTTTTAAGTGCTATCGGATCGCTCAACTCACTTGAAAGACTAAAGCAAAGATGTGAAAAGTTGTTGGAAATTGAAACAGGCACATGATGATCGCCCAAAGTAATTGCCATGGACCGATGTGTCCGATATATTCTGAAATGATGTCACTTTCATCTTCATTATCTTCACTATCACCACTTTCTGAATTGGCAACAAGTCCAATTTGTGAATTTCCACCGATTGTAAAAATACTCGATTTATCAAATTTATTTTTGTCACTGATTTGTAAACAGTTCGCCAAATATGCTTGACTTCGATTCCATTGCACTTGCGGCGGAACTTCAATGCTCGCATCCTCCATGTTTAAGCTCCAAATAAAGACTGAATGGAAAAATATTTTTCTTGTACATTTTAATAAAGCTATTAAGTAGTTTTGAAGTTTTTGCACTTGTGGGAAGTTGATTGTGTTCGTATACAAACAAACTGTAGGCTGACAACAAACATCTGAACGTTTTTTTGTCGCAATTTAAAGCGCGCACACAACACAACTTCAATTGTGTTGTTTTCCACATGAAAGCTTTCAAAAGCTTGAAAAAAATGTGAAATTCTGCTTTCTTACTTGATGCGTTGTACCTGATTGTAAGTTACATAAGAATTGATATGTGAATGAAAGGTCATGCAAATCAGTCCCTTCCTGTTGAATTGAAAACTTCATTTCCGCTTTGATTTATTGATTTCCTTTAAGATTCATCCCTTGAACTTTGACGTCATTGGATTCTGTCCAACATCAACTGAGTTGTTAGATAAACTCAATAAATGCTTTAGAAATCACATCGAAAATTTCACGAAACATTAGAATTTGCTAATTTGTTGACATGAATATTTATTTATGCTTCAATAAGTAAATTGTTAGCGGTTTAGTGTCTCTCACTAAATACAAGACAAATCAATCGTAATCGTCAATTAGCGAGGTAATTATGAAAAGGTTGCATAATAAGTTTCTCAAGATTTTTTTTTCTTTAATTGTTACCGTAACATATAAAACGATTAATGTTGGATATTGATTTGTTTGTTCTGAAGAGTAAATCGATTGATTTATATCGGATGCTTCCATTAACGTTGGAGATATAAATGGCAAACACATATCTACTTACCAAAAGTGAATAATTTGCATAGCTTCTTCCATATTTCAAATGATTTCAATTCACTCATGACCTTGATGAAGTTAAAGTGGAAGAAAACATAAACAATAAGTTTCTAATTACCAACGTAGCATGTAACAGAATATTCGTTCGGAACCTTGTCAGTTCCTTGTTATTTGTGGATTTGTTTTTAGAATAACTGATGGTTATTGCAATTTGGTTTTTAATCAAGTGTTCCCTAAATGGATAAGCCACAGATCATTTAATGTAGATGAGGTTTCACGTAATTAAATATTGTTGAGTTAATAAACAAATTGAATTTGCACAATTGAAATTTGAAATCAAATTTTATAAAAGTTGAATGAATAACTGGAATGCTGTTATTGATTGATTGAATTGAAATTAAAACTTTTTACTCTTAACACGCAGTTATCAAAATATGCAGAAATGAAAATGCCAATCATTGATTTAATTAACTTTTATCTATAAATACTGACCGTAATAGTTAGACGAAGCCCTATGGATTCAATTTCAATGTAAATAACAAAAAAATATCAACCTAAATATTTCCACGATTATTTTTTCTATCAAGTTCATAAATTAAATTAACTTGAGACTTGTGCAAATTTCTGGGAGATTGAAATAAAGTCAGATAATGTTTGATATTCGTTCATGTATGTGAATTCAAATGTAAATTATTTAGAAGGGAACGAACGACAATTCATTCCTTGAATGGATACATTTTATGTAAATTTCATGTTGCAATTGATTTTAACACGCTACCCATTAAGATATAAAGATTCACGACATTTAATTGCATTCATTCCATGTTCTCTGTAAATAAGAAATCTAAAAATACTTCGTGCTAAATATTGAAACCATTTGATGAATTATTTTGATAAACTTATTACATATATTTTCATAGACATTTAGTAGTTTGGTAATTTTGTTTGTTGATAGATTTATGACGTCACCTTTTCTTTTAAATATAATTTAACATTTTATATAGCCAAATATATATTTTCTACGATAATTTCTAACATTCCTTTAAATATATTTTAATCATCTTTCTACTTATATTAATT